ATCTACAGTAACGTCTTCAGCTAGTCAGCTTGAGATCCTTTTCATCTAGCTGGTTATATAATGTTTTATGAACAGTAGGATAACCATATTCATCTGCACAGTCATGCAGAGGCGAAGCACAACCAAAACAATGTTCTTCCACAAAAAACAGTTTTGTTTTAACCACTAAAGGGCCAAACGTTACATAAGGGGGTTTTGCACCGGGTAGTTCTAGGAACTAGCCACCAGTGTGGTTTCCCGAGAACAAATGGCTCCCTTAGGAACATTTTCCTGGTTGCATTCGCACCGCCAGTAGGAACGCTGTCAGAAGTCTGACTTTTGTGACTTATATTGACGGTGTGGCAGACCTTTATTTTGACGGCGCTGAGAACACCAAAGCCTGAGCCTGAGCACACAGCGTTCATTAGTTTACAATCTTTCTAAGAGTCCCGTCTAATACGTCATTAGATAGAACTGTTATACAAAGAAAGTAGACAGTATATGAAAAGGCATTAGCGTATGCCATGCGGTTGCTGTCCAGTGTTGCTAGCTGAGCAGAAATACATAATCATGTTTAGCTTGGTCCCCTCAAAGTTGCGTTGGATTTTCTCCTTATCATAAAGGTTGAGAGGCCCATCTATCACTGTTTTCCATGTCCGTAGAGTTAGTTTGTGGAGTAAATATATAAAGGCTATAATCTGTGTGTTTACAATGCTTTTTTAAAAATGTCGGGTGCTGATGTTTCGCGTGCTGATGTTTCGTGTGCGTTCAGCCAATCAGCGTACACTAACGTCACTGGTAGTTCCTATAGTGCTGGTTTAGACCCTACTCTGAAGTAGGAGCTAAATTAGTTCCTCCAAAACGAGTTCCTAGAACTAAAATCGTTCCTAGTTTTTGCGATGCGAACATGCAAAAAAAAAAAAAACGGGTACTTCCTCCAATAGTTTTAGGAACTATGAAAAGGTTCCTCCAGTGCGAAAGCCCCCATTGTGTACTTTTAAAGATGCAACTGCTCGAAAACAGTATTTAGAAACCCAATTTGTGTAGCTATACTCACATGTGCCTGAAATTGACTGCACTATTCTAGCATATCATAGCTGGGTTCATTACCAAATCCATTTCCTTTAAGCAGCACTGCTAAAAAAATTAATAAAAAAAAAAAGAGCAAAGACAACTAGTCAATCCATCCAGACCCATCCCTACTATGTGTCAGGGTAAAGTCAGAGTCATACTCTGCTGAGGCAGGAAGTTTTTACACAATGTACAGAATGGCCCTTAAGCAATACAAAGCAAAACAGCAACTATAAAGGCCTTTTCTGAGTTTGAGAATCTTTAGTCCAGTCCACTCCATTCCTGGAAACTCTTTGGCCACATTCCCCTGAAGAAAGACATGCATAACATCCTTCTTTGTGTGCCACAGGTAGAGAAAGAACAGTGTCACGGCCTGCCACCCACTCAGGGATTATAGCGAGGCAAGGTGTTATGTGAAGGCATAATGTGCCTCTTAATCTTCCCTTTTTCCTTTTCTAAAGCTTATGCCATGATGCTGCACTAATGTGTCCAACATCAATCCCGCTAGCCACGGGGGAATACAACTGACCACTGCTCTCAAATATTCTCAGGCAGACCACGTACCGTTTTGAGTCAAAGTCAAGACACACCAAAAGGAAGAAAAACAAATGCATCTGTGCTACAGTAGCTGTAGGGTCATAATTCACACTGTCTGCAAAAGGCAGGTTTCAAAAGTAAAGTTAGCATGACGATTTAGGAACATATATAAAATCACTATAAAAACATGTTAGAAGGACATATGGGCACTTAGATACAATTCAATAATCTGGAATATTTCCTAGAAACATGACTCCCTAGCAGATATTCAAAAACTGCCATGAATGCATTTCTGAAGATTTCAGATATAATAACAGGTGAAACTGTTAAATCTCCTAATTTTTCTCACATCATGGCGCCTGTAATAGATTTGCGCTACATCTCAGCAGCAGTCTCCTTAATAGGACAGGAGATAGATTTGGCATGCTCAGCACTGATCTAGAACGCAAGGCTAGATAAGTGAACAAGGACTCTGGTTAGACCCTGACTAGCTTGCTTTGATATGGAAGAAATTTACAGAGTGCCAGTGAGGAACTGCTAATTAAAAAGGTAATTAAAATCCCATCATAGCGATAAACTAACATCAGTTCCTGGACAGGGTCAAGTACAAACTCAAACTGAAAACAAAGTAAGTGCCAATACGGTGGATTTATGTAAATGTCACTCATTTGCATGCAAATGTGACCTGACATTTTTGTGATCATGTTAAAACACCGAAGCACCAATGCGTGTTTAATTTTGCTGACGTGGTAAATTTGATGGCATAACCTCAAAGGGTGAAAAAAAAAAAAAGTCTGGGTGATATTTCAACCCCAAATTAACAAAAATCTAAATAAAACTCAAACACCTTAAGAAATGTTAATGTGCAAAGAAACAAAAGAATGCTTTTTTAGCACCATTAAGATGTTTTAGCATTTTTAAATTCTCATGTCTCATTCTCATGACAAATATGCACATTTGTCACCAAGATTCTCTTTACTGTAAAGCAGAAAAGTTCCGACTCATTCTCTTTAAAGGCAGGGTAGGCAGTTTGTTTCTAAAACACTTTTCCCCAAATTTGTTTAAACGGTCTTTATATACCAATACATACTGTATCTAAAATGTAAGTACTCTGAAAAGGAGAGTATAAAAATCGAGTGTCTGTAGTCCTCTCAGGGCTGCAATAAACACAGCTACTCTTTCCATTCGGAACGAATGCAATGATTGGCTGGGCGACTGTCACTCTCCCTCGCTACCATGGCTACCACCCCTGCTGCTACAGGAGCTGCCCACATGGGCGCACCCGGTTGACTCGCTCATTTCGAAAGAGGAGAGGCACGTACCGGCCGGAAGCTAGGAAGTCTCACAATTATGGCAGAGAAAGAGCAGTCAAAATTCCCAGTACCACCTGTACCTGCATATACAATCAGCGCAGGCAAACAAGGCAAAAAAAGGTGATGTCACTCCATGCACTGCGCTCCTCTCCGAGTCAAGTCAATGGAGATAAAACCTGTTGGAAAGCGTCTTTTGCAGCGATTTTTGTGTGAGCATATCAGTGAACACCCCAGACCACTCGGTGAGTTTCACGTCTTTGTAAACTAAGGTGTAATGCGTTTTAGGAAGGATTGTTCCAGTGCACCTATGCAACCATTGTGGAGGTGGGGGGGGGGTGCAACCACAGAAACCGAAAATTCTCGGGCCAGCAGCATGTGTACACATTTCAATCTTAACCGTTCTATTTCATCAGAAACGATCTTAAAACAGGGCTTCAAGTGTAAAATACCGAACTTGTCTTTTAACTAATGAAACCTTATTTTATTACAGTAATGAGGATTGGCAAGTGCTGGATTAAGTGGCCGAGGGAAGACAACATCCTGTGGCACAGATTCACCTGGTCTGATAAACTCATAAAGTTGGTGGCTTTGACAGTCTACCCCTTTGGACATTCCTCAGACTCAAAATTGGTCAATTTTCCTTCCTCACAACAATAGAAACAGTTGGAGGTGAAGGTGAGAGGAAGAGAACAGCCCCAGTGACACTAGGTTCATAAGCCGGTTGGATTAATCTTTCATATAAAAAAAAGATGATTTATTTAAGGGCATATCCAGAAGAAAAACTAATGATGACCTTCTAGTCGAAAGATTCAGAGTTTGGGGATGGAAGATGTAGGTTGTTTCTTCTAGCTTCCTAAATGATCTATTAAACTAAACTCAATTACAGCCGATACACAACATACATAAAGACACGACATGTGATCTCATCTTACAACTTAACAAGGGGTGACAAACCAAACATGAAGGGGAATAAAAATCCTAATCTCTAAAGCCCTATTCGGACGGGATTAGTTTTACAAGAGTAGATGGAGTAATGTAATTTTACCACAGGACGTCCGTAATAATAATGGCCAATTCGTACAGGATAAGAAATCTAAGTAAAACTAGCAGAAGTGGGAGGGGTAACTTAATTTACGCACCGTCGCCATGAGCGTATTATGTTGCTTCCTGATAAAACAGTTAAATCCGGTCGAATTATGTATTAATAAAATTTAGATTGGATTATGTTGGTAATAGGCACTTACCTAACGCCTAAAGAAGTTTCGTGCCTCTAACCTTTCGACCTTCTTTTTGATCTGAATGGTATGCAGAAAACACTTGAGTTTTGCCACAGACTTGTCCCACCGTCTGAATGCCTTTTCAAGCACCTCTATACTTGGAAAAACTACTTTTAATCAGGACATTACGGAATATTTACGTACATATTTACAACGGGTCTATTCGCACGGGATTAGTATTACCCGAGGTAATTTTTCTGGACCTTTTTACAGAAGGTGAAAGTCGCCGTAATAATTACTGACATTGTCCGTAATGATTACTGAGATGGCACATTTGGACGGGAGTCACGGGACTAAAATCACTGAGAAGCTCTGGTAATAATTACTTTACCCCACCTCTCCATGTTAAACTAATCCCATCCAAATAAGACTCAAGGCAAGCAAATATTGGCACATATTCTAAAATCAGCATTATTTCCTGTGGTTAACATGCAATAAGAGGCTTATCCAAGTGAGAATTAAAAAAAAGCTGAAACAATACTTTTTATTGGCAGTTGGGATAGCCACTTTCCTCATTTCTAGAGATGAAGGAGGGTGGAGCAGAGAGAAATGAATAAGCACATCAATCACTGTTGCGAAGCTAAAGCCGAGGAGGAAATCACACCGGCGTCTTGTGCTGTAGCTCTATGTGAATTTCAAGGGCACGTAAGAGCCTCCTGATACACGGCTGGGGTGAGGAGTCCACAGAGATTACGCAGAAGTATTAAGTGTCTCGTTTGTCTTTCTTACCTTCAGCCAGTGTGAGTCCAGCACTCTGCCGAGACATAAGTGCTGCCAACGTAGAGCGTATGTTTGACTGTGTAACGGGTGCTGCTGCACTCACCAGAAACACTCTGTAGGCGTCTTTGCGTCTTACAGGGCCCCAGCATGACTCGGTATCATTGTATTTCACACTCCCAGCACTGCACGAGTGATTCCCACTGCGAGAAGGCAAACAATTACACTTCTGACATCTGCGAATCGATTTCAGGAGTTTATAAAGTACTACTACTACTATATATATACACTTGCATCAAGAAAACTCAAACTTGAGGGGGAAAAAACACCTCAATTGTATTTATTATAAGCTAAGCAAAAATATGCAATTTGGTGCAGTTGCTGATATTTATATGGCCAAAAAGAAAGATGAACTCAGTGAGATCTTTATAACAGCATAGCAGACTACTTACATAAAGTGCATATAAATATCATTTGTTACTATTTCTCCCAATAATATGTCAATATTGAAATGCTTAGTTTTATGATGAAAGGTCGGTAGATTTTATTGTGGGTCGAAAAATATATAATGCAATACAATGATGATTGAGAAACGTACAAAAAAAGTTGCTGAAAAGCCTGATGTATCATATTTGATTATCATATCAATTCATTATTTTCTAGAAAAATCATGTTAAAATGTGATTATCATGTAAATCTAAGTTGCTTTAGTCCAGTGCTCATCTAGAAATATAAATAACAATATAAAAATGCATTCAGTCAAGATTTCACAGCAAAAAGAGACGTGTACCACAACCTAAAGGGGGACGTTTTGAGAATTATATTAAAAGGCCTTTTACTTGCCTTCTGTTGTCTGACTTTTTTTAGCATGTAGTAGATATGCATATGCATTAGGGGTGTAATGATACCCTCATGTAACGAATCGATACATATCACAATACGATATTATTGTAATACTCCAAGACATATGGTAAAAGGTAACAAAAAAATGAACTGTTGATTTAAGTGCTAAATTTGTATTACATTGGGGGTGGAAATGAATAGGCTTGGACTTGGTGCTGGTAACCCAATGCACAGGACAATGCCTGTGAAACCAATAAGAAATGACACCAGAATACAAATATTCATGATTCTGAAAATACAGAATTATTTAGATGAATATGCTTTCACTCTGTCACTGGCTAGATATATTTAAAATAATGTAGGCCAATTTTTACTGGTAACATAAGACATTTGGCATTATCAGGACACACAAATATTCCCCCATTACATTATTATACATTATATTCAACATTATAGTAGTTTAATCCTGACACTAAAACTCTGTAAACTTACATTTTTTCCCTCACAGTAATTTTTTATTTTGGGTGAACTATACACAATACATATGGTCACTATCCACATTGTTGCATTTTTGTATAGCGATATATTGTGACACATGTATATCAAATATGACACAGGAGGCTTGTTTGGCGTAGACCGATTTTCACATGCATTTCTTATTGGTTTTAAACATTATCTTCTAAGTGAAAAAGTCTACCATAAGAAATTAGTTGTGTTTTTATGACTGGGCCATTTTCTTATTGATCTGCAACCAATATGAAATAAATCTAGTTTTAATTTTTGACCAAATGTTATCATTCAAAAAGTAAAGCTGATGTTTAATTAATTAATGGCTAGAAGAAGAGCAAGATGAGAGATTTTAAACTCACCAAGCGACCTCCATCAGTGATACAGGTACAGCAGCAGCATAAATGGCCAGGTCTCCGTACAGGTACACGATTAGGCAGATGTAGAACATGTTGACGCCAACTGCAGAGAGAAACAATCACATTCTGAAGATTCGTGGCTTTACATAAAACATCACTTCAAATACAAACATGTGGAGAGGTTCACAGAACCTGAAGATGGGCAGCATCATTCCCTAGAAGATTCCTCTGATGTTCCTCCCTAAACACTATAGCCGCTACACGCATAGAGCTGTATAAATCATCCTAATTAAAGAAGCAAGCACTTCATTATGAAATCCCCCCTGCTCTTCTCTTCATTAACCCCACACTCCTCTTCACCTGTTCTTCCATCCATCCATCACTCAGCCCCTGCCTGTTGGAGATGAGATGGAGAGCATTCAGGAGGAAACACAGACCGGCTTCACCACAACACACATTCATCATTCACAGAAGCTCCTACGAGGATCTCAAACGGTCCAGCCAACCAATCAGCTCATTAATTACCCTGAAAGTCGACTAGTGCTAACAGACTATTTAAACTAGATTTAAATAAAGAATTTTTTACGATAGACATTTGTATGAGCTTAATTGAGCCATCTTTCCCTTCACCTAAAAAAAAAGCAGCAAATGTTGCTTTCAGTTCCAGTTCATTATGTGAAGAGTGACGAAAACATGGGAAATTATGAATGCAAAATCAGTTGCTGTGCTCATTATAAACAAATTTTTTGGGAAAGGAGAAAAAGACTGTTACTTTAAATATAAAAATATTGATGTTTCTTAAAAAAGGTAATTTTTTACACAATTTCACCGAATTAAAATCCAACCTTCTTGCTTTACTAGGCTACAATATCACTGTGTGAAGAGAAATAGCAGCTTCTTTTTGTAAATGCCTTTAAATGTAATAAAAAAAGATGCACTGATAATTCAAATTTGGATAGATATAGTTATGGCTGATAACCAATGAATGGCATATTAAAATTCTAGACTGTTTTGTCAAAAAAACTTTGTTTAAATCAAACACTAAAAGCTAAAAATCAATTGTTTTAAATGCTCAAAGTGAACAACTTTGAGTGAGGCATCAAAATGTAACAATTAGAGGAAATGAGCATCCACAAATATGATAACCATGGCTCAGTTTCTTCCTTCAACTCAATTCTATAGGATTTTGATCCAGTTTTATCATCCATTACCCCGGTTTCACAGTCAAGGCTTAAGTCTAGAGAGGTTTTAACTGAAAGCAACTTGCACTGACATTTCTTTAAATATATCAGTGGCATTGTTTTGTCTCAAGATGTTTGTTTTTTTCTTTTCTAAAGGCACGTTTCTAAAAGCTACTTAAATGTCCTAATTAAACGAAGGTCTAATCCTGACTTAATCTAAGCCTTGTCTGTGAACCCAGGCCTAAATCTTTCTACATTGTTTTAAAAGTAATAGCAAGCCTCTCCTCAAAGAGCAAGAACATGCATGTAGGCTACAGTTCAAGATGAGCTACACACCAAAGTCTAATAGTTATGGTTAGAGGCTACTAAGAAAAAAATCCCCATTCTGAGCTAAAGTAATAGCACACCTAAAAACAAAATCAATCATGAGCTAATCTATCTCCTCTGTGGCATTATTCGAAGCAGTCTTCTAATCAACCTGTCAGTGGGAAGGTTACAGCCACTGTGAGCAACCCAGATAAACCAGCGGCCATTAAGAAACCGGTCCAATGATGAAATGACAGAAGCCAGGCTTCCTGTTGTTAATTTCAGACCAGAGCGGATTCACATTCAGCTTTAATTTACAAAAGAAATTGAACCCAAAGATTCGCTGTGTGTATTTTCTGTAAAAACAACCTCCCACCTACCTCAACAATACTAAAGTCCATTCACAAACGTTAAAGCCTTTAACTACAGTTCAATATAAAAGCCTGCAGTTTCTTTCCGCTGAATGGCAGCTCATGGATTGATCACCCCCATTACAAAGGCTGCGTTTAGCAATTCCACTTGGATTAAAAAGACAGCATGTCCTAAGACAGGAGGGCAAACGAGTATTATCTTTAAAGCTACAGTCAATACTAAAGTCACACTAACTAAACTAATCTCCTTCACAGTGAGTTACACTTCCATTTAATATATTTACGGTCAGAGTCTGCTCAGATAGTCATTAGTTTCTCCCAAGTGCACCTCCAAAGTGGCCACTTCACTCCATTCTACACTGGGAAAGGTCAGAGCACAGCAAGCTATTTTAACACATCACGCTTAATAGAATAACAAAAAGTCGACAGGGCGAGCGTGTGACGTCTGTGCCGAGAAAACACAAAGCTCTGAAGCTACAAGTGCGTGCTTGTGTTCACCAAACGAAACGAGAGTGCATGCTGCGCATAGGAGGCAGTGCTGGTTTGTTTGAGGCTGTAACAAGTGCGTCACCTAGTGCATAACACTTGCCATCACATGCTGTGGATATATGGAACCAGGGTCAGAAATTAACAGGCAATTTTTCCTTTTAATTTGTTCCTTTTCTAAAGGGCAATTTTAATGATAACTGTATTAAAGAGTATTTTATGTCAAATACTTATATTTAACCAAATTACTTTTATCAAAATACTATATTACCAATAAAATTCTCGACATCAACAGAAGTCACATTTACACTAAAGGTGGAACAGAAGCTGCATCTAACATTTACATAGTCAGTTTAATATAAAGGTGGCATACATGTATTTAGAGTGAATTCTAAATACATATATAATAAATGCTTTAACGTACATTTACATGACAACTGCATAATGTTGCATAGTGTAAATCGCTTACATAAAGTATATCAATTCTAAAATTGAAAATCAGGAAATCATTTCAGGGCAGAACTGCAATTATGACAAATCATTAGTCGATTATTGCCATCAACATTGTAATAATGATTATTAATGTCATTTAATAGAAAACATAAAAGGTTTTATGGGTGGAGAAACGTCTCGTCATATATTCTTCTAGGCAACACAGACAAAAAAAAAAACTAATAAAAAAAAGAAATAAACTGTTTTTTAACTTATTACAAACATCGCATTGGTTATCTTAGCAGGATGAAGAAAGAAACGGTTCTTCAAACTGGGAATAAATTAAACACAGAAAGCGAGCATATAAAGTTTCGCCATCACTTCAGCCTAGCGCAAGGTCACGGAGTTAAGCCCTCACGCAAAAACTCCTGTTATATTCACAGAAGCTGCGAAAAGATGATAACATTTTCTACACTGCAAAATTAATCTCTTGTTTACATTGTATCTGCACTTTGATGTTTATGTTCATGCAGAGTTCAGTCAGCAAACGTGTGCACTGAACAAAACACATTTCACTTTAACCCTGATCGTCGTAATAGAATTCGTTTAATTGTGCAGGGGCATTTTTGTTCATTTCTGTGGCATTTTTGCCCTAAGCCCAGTTCATTTCCAACCCTGTATGAAACAGCTCAGCAGGCCATTTCTGATGTCCGTCCTTTGCTTGATGGTTGGAGAAGATGCCAAAAGTAATGCTGTTGAGATATTACAAGGCTGCTCGGGGCACTGTTGAGTCAGCCTTTGTGTAGCGCTGCTCGTGAAATGATGCTTAGGAGGGCAAGAATTCTGAAAATAGGAATCAGTATAAATGACACCTCGGTTTTTAGTTCAAGGTGAACACCGCGTCTTCATATTCATCATAAGATTCTCATTACCTGGGTTCTCCATCTTTAAGCGAACCTCTCGTTTCCTTATATTAGAGTAGATAAAAGATCAACAGTGAGGTAATTACAACCAAAAGCAATTTAACTAGTTCTAATTGCACCCCATTAACAGCAAATAACCTTGTTCAATGTTACTGAACACTGAAGCAAAACTTGACCTTCGGACACCATCTTTTAAGGCCTGTTTAATAGTCTTATAAAGCTAAATGTCTTAACTGAAGATTACATTGTAGTGCATAATGATGCAAGAAATCTTACCTTTATTAAAAAACATGGAGGCCATTTGTCCCATCTCGACCCTCTCGACAATGTCAAAGTGGTCTATATTCGAGGCACGCTCTGTTACATCAGATGACAAAACCAACAATGACCTTGAGATTTTGATCTTGGGTAACATTGCAAACCATTATTGACAAAGACAGTACAATACAAACAGCACTTACGGACAGAGAGAATGGGCCGCGTCTCGACAGGTTCCGAACGTCCCCGGATAGTGACCTCATCATCTGAATAGTCCGAGCTGGAGTCGCTGTCATTAATCTTAAAATGGTTGTAACAATAAAATTGATTAGTTTACTAATTCTAGGCCCTGAACAAACACGCTCACAACCAAAAAAAAACCCTAAATTATCAAAAATTGACATAGTATGTGTGAGCTTGGTAATAGTCAGTCATCTTCATTTATATAGCGCTTTTAACAACGGATTGTTTCAAAGCAGCTTTACAGAGATAAACATAAACATAGGTAAACATAGCAAGTTTGCTCACAGTTGAACAACACTTTATAATACTTTATTCAGCAAGGCTGCATTAATTGATCAAAAGTTACAGTAAAGACATTCATAATGTTACAAAAGATTTCCATCTCAAATAAATGCTGCTCTTTTGACCTTTCTATTCATCAAAGAATCCTGAAAAAAAAAAACATCTTCACATTGTGGTCTTCAATACATTGATAATAATGAGTGAATCAGCATATTAGAATGATATCTGAAGGATCATGTGACATGTAATGATGCTGAAAATTCAACTGTGCCATCACAGGAATAAATTACATAAAAAATATATTCAAATAGAAAACGGTCATTTTGAAATTGTAATAATATTTCACAATTGTATTGTTTTTACTGTATTTTGATCAAATACTGCAGCCTTGGTGAGCAGTAGGCTTGCCGCGATAGACGGTGTTGACGGTGTTACCGGTTTTAAGCCCCATCACCGGTGACATCACTTTCCCACCGTGACACCGCGATGTCTTGACTTTTTTAAAGTATTCGTTTTTGCTAAAATATTTATTTGAATTAATTAAAAATAATAATTATCAATTATTTAGTTCAGAAGAGAGCATAGGCTACATTATAATTAAAAACTGAACTGCGCAGTGCGTGCCAAGAGCCAGTCACGTCACAGATCAGCAAGCATCAGGATTCCATTAAGCATGTGGAGATGAGAACGAGTCAAATTACAGAAAAGCAAGATAATGGCGGAATGTGTAATTTATTTAGGCCTGTTTTATTTTCTTATTCGTTAATAAACGTTTTATGGTTCTTATTTGTTTGGGCCCACAGTTTGACGATTTTCAGCCTATGCATGGGGTTATTTTTATTCGTTCGTTATGCTAATAAAAGTTCTGTCTATAAATAAAAAATTTATTATCAGCGCAGAGTTTCCGCTAGAAAAAAATGGTGCCGGTCAAAGTGACCGGCAGAGGTTTCGTTTAACGGACATTTTGATGATATGCCGGTCAAATATCGCCTCTTAATTAGTCAAGTTGAGGAAAACTGGAGGCAGGCTATGTAACTTAAAAAATGACATAATCAGGCCGTATAGAATGCAACATGTTATTATTAGCCTAACTTTCAAATAGATGAAAAAAAACATGAACGTCCGATTGGCGTCAATTAACACCAATTGTTGTTTACTATGGTTTCACACACATTCACTTTTTGAAACATTGAGGCACGGATGTACCTAATACAAATAAATAAAACATCTCCAGTTAACTAGCAGATCATTAATTTAGTTCGCTATTAAATAAGAGATCTAGCGCTAAAATCAGTTGTTTTTTAAATCAAGCTGAGCGCTCGTGTCCGCTGCTATCAGTTGCATGGACGACGCGCTGCGCGAGTTGCGCAATCTTCACTTGGACGCGCGTTTCAATCTATCGCCGTTGCGGAGACTCTACACAGGCGAAGCACTGATACTCGGGCGCAGAGATATCACGCAACACCTGAAATAAAGCTTGCCACAAAGAACCAGCGAAAGTAATGATTATGCATGAAACATTTAAATATAAAAAGTTGATAAATTGATAAAGTTGACGATGCAGACTCGCCATCTTCGCAGTAGTGAACGCGCATAGAGAGAGAAATGCACACTTCATATGAATAAATTCTTATTTTTTAATCCAGGCAAATTTGTTGATGAAACATTGATTAAAATGAAGATACAATTTATACAAAACGAAATAAACTTTAAAGAAAGGCTTTCTACAAAACAAAACTAAATAAGTGGTCAAAATCATGTCTGACCAATTCCAAATGTTTTCCGATATATAGGCCTATTGGTCATCTTATGATCCTATCTTACTCATCTCATGCGGTTCCCTTTTCATATAGCCTAATCAACATAGATGAAATAAAAAAATAATAACATTATATTATTTATAAAAATGAAACGTATATTTAAGGTTTTTTAACTTATAATAAGCGTCACACCGCTCCGCTTTGCTCACATGCTCTGGTGTGTAGCCTAATGCATGTGTGTGTGCATGTGGTGGAGGGGTGCGATTTTCGAATAATAATCAACCCAACGATCTTCGAATATTATTTTTGCTTGAAAATTTCGTTTTGTATAAATTGTATATTAATTTTAATCAATGTTTCATCAACAAATTTGCCTGGATTATTAAATAAGAAGCGAATATAGTGGACAATATAGGCTAATCAGGACACGGAGGCGTCGGCCCGTGCACACTTCTCTCTATAGGCGCGTTCACTACTGCGAAGATGGCGAGTCTGCATCGTCAACTTTATCAATTTATCAATAATATCAATGGACCTGGCCATATCTGAAACGTCTCACTCAATCGTTCGTTGTTTAGGTCTATATTACAGCCGTTCTAGGCGTGCGCTTTATTTGAAATGAGGCATGCGATGTTGTTTAATAACTTTCAAACGGTAGAGCCTGTTCCTTTAACATAGCCAAAGGTCGGGGTATTTTTGCTTTATACATTTTAGGCTTATTCTCAAATTCATATTGTGTTAGGGGGGCGGGATTATTACGCAATTTTAATCGGACAATTTGACCGGAGAGATTTAATTTTGTCGGACATTTCATTTTTTTCCCGGCCAATGTCCGGTAATTACCGGACAACGGAAACCCTGTATCAGCGAGCCGAGTTGTTGTTTTTTTGCCCATTCAAGCAATTGACGCTGAATTGCCAATTGACGCTTATTTCGAAAGTGAAAGTATAACGCGCACGCATTCAAAAGCTATTTAACCCCCCCGCCCCGGCCCCCACGGTGACACCGGGATTACCGGTATTGTGACACGTCGATTAACCGGTGGGAAATTTTCCTCACCGCGGCAACCCTAGTGAGCAGAAGAGACTTCTTTCAAAAACAGACCCCAAACGTTTGAATGGTAGTGTACTGCTTATGGCTTGTTTCACTTCTATGGTGCTTTTTTGTCATTTTTGGGGCTGTACAGCACCAGTCCCTTTTGACTTCTATTGTACGGTGATAATTCAGCCTAACTTTTTTGTGAGGTAATATCATACAGGTTTGGATCAACATGAGGGTGAGTAAATTATAACATTTCTTTTTTTTTTTGGTGAACTGTTCCTTTAAAACAATGTTACAAATGAATGTGAGGGCGTTCTAGACGAACACGTTTGATTATTGCCTCGGTTTACTTTTATTCTCTTGAAACGCTTATTCAGCATAAACACAATATATGTTGTTGCAGAATAGAGATAATCTATTAAAATATAAACATTCTGATTTTATAGTTGTATAGGCCGTAATATAGGTTGTCTGTATTCTGTTTGTATGGGTGAAACTGTCTAGAAACATACTAACCATGAGCCTCCTTCTGAGTTTGTCAACACGTAGCGATTTTAGTACATCTGCCCTAAATGGCCCCGTTTCATTCACCGATAGGTCAGTATGATTTCAAGTTTCATCGACTTTCTGGCTTGGGAAGTGTAACATTTCCATGATAAGTGTAATTTTCATAGGGAATAGATACTGAATAACAACATAGTGTTCAGGGTAACCGGGTGATGTCACTAACCTCTTCCTGTTCTCTCCTCTTCCAGCGTAGTTGGGCATTGGCAGCAGCCATGGCTTCAATCACAAACGTGGTGGTCATGAAACTGAGGGAAGACAGAACAGTTGAACACACTATTTCATGTGTAGCAAGTTTAATAAAAATAAAATAAAAAAAGGGAAACCAAGATGCAGAATTCATGAAAATTCAAACAAAATTCAAGAAAAAGACAACATACAATAACAAATTGACCATCACGATTTTTCGCATTATATTACACACATTTTTTTTAAATAATTTTGTTTATTAAAATGTCATACATTTCCCCACCTGAGATAACTTATGTTATTCTGACATAAGGCTGCGTGAGTGGAAACAATAATATTACCTAAAGAAAAAAAAACAACTACTTAAAGCAGAAAGAATTGTTTTAAAAAGTCTGACTCAGAGACTTGTCATTGGTGCATATAAATGAAATGATTCAATATAATTAATCCCTGTGTTTATTTAGTCAAAAACAATGTGGAAACACACACACACGTAGGGTTTTTGTGTTTTATGAGGACTTTCCATAATTTTTATACTGTTCAAACATTCTTTCCCAGGGGTGCCCAATCCCGTTTGTGGAGATTTACTTTCCCTAAAGTTCAGCTCCAACCGAGATCAAACAACTAAACCAGCTAATAAAGATCTGCAGGAGCACTTGATAATTACAGACGGGTGTGTTGGATCAGGGTCAGATCTGAACTCAGTCGCTTCGTGTTGTGCCAAATCCAGTGTAGACAGCATCTCTGATTATAATGGGTTCTATTTACTTCTGTTGTGTTGCGTCGTGACTCGTGCTGCTCGAGGCTGGTGTAGACACGGTGTTATAGAAAACATTCTGCATTTTTACATTTTCCAAAAATAACATTTAGTCTGATTTATAAACTGTTTTCCTCATGGAGACCAACATTTTGTCGAAGATTTCAAGTTTTACTGCCCATGTGGGGACATTTATTTACTTTTTTTACTTTAAGCCTTTATGTATAATGCATTATAAAAGGTATTGATAAATGTACTTTATAATTCATTATAACTTTTTATAAATAATTGTAACCAAAGTTAAAATACATTATAATATTTGCAGATTCCTTGTTACATCTGAAATTGGTTGTTTGTCACATGTTTTAATGCATTATACTTTCTAAAGGCGTAACAGTAGTATTCTGCATTATGACTGTGGTTACAATTATTCCTGAGACCATACAATGTATTAAAAGACGCATTACAAGGCATAACACATTATATATCTCTAGATAATATTACTCTAGTAACCTTTTTTTTTTACATTGTGCATATATAAATATATAGAAATCATAAATTTTTAAAGGGGCAATGACATGCATTTTTTTTTTTTTTTAAGGGGTTCTTGAGGTTCACTTATAAAGTGTTTTTAGCAAAAAACAAAACAAATATATGCATAAAAACTCTCAACCCTCATTCTGACCATCCATTTTTAAGGGGCAGCTCCTTTTAAGGCTTGTCAGTGAACGTCCGCTGTTATGATTAGCTAACGTCATTGCATATGAAACGGTATCAACGAGCCCTCGATAATTGCACGTGAGTGTTTAGAAAACATTATCCATATAAAAACCCTCATTTACAGACTAAGCATTATGAAATTATTTACGGTTTGTAATGCAGCTGCTGTCAGATCCAATACAGTTGGCTGCTTTATCTTTCAACTAAAGGGTCTTTGCAAACTCTCCATTACACTGTGCCTCATTTACAAAACAAAATGCTCCGAACAAACATAAAATCCTTCAACGCGATCTGGGACGCCATTAAAATAAACCATCCACTTGGTTCTGAAGCTGGGATCCTTCTGAAGTCTGTACAGAGAACACACTCTTATATGTCGAAAGATCAAGGCAAATTTGGTTTCTCGTGTCACGACCCCTTTAAATATATCACTCAGTCCTAGTGTAAAATATGAGAAACTGTGTCATATACATTACGTCAGTCTCATTCGGACATCTCCACTCATAACCTGTATTTAAAGACCACTGTTGTCTGCTTTCTTTCCTCAGCTGTTTCATTGATATACAGCTCCATTCTGTTGCATCTAAACTCTCATAACTCTCCCCTGGGCTCTGTCAGTGGCTCAGACAGCTGGCAGGTTGGCAGGGGTGATAAATGTGTTTTGATGGCCACAGCACCAGCGGCAGCAGTAACAGGGTTGAGAGGTCAGCTAAAGATGAGCGAGTGAGAGAGAGAAATAGCATGCAAAGAAGCCAAAAAGAAGACACGCCGTGCTCTTATTGAACACAACATGAGGTAGAGACAGAATTACATTTCTCAAATTCATGCCCTAACTACACACAAATTAGAGACCCATTCTGACCCCATTTGGCAAACCACCAAAAAAGATGGGAAATCTAATACATACAGCCTCCTAAACCTGATATGTCAAAACCCCTGAATAATCGAGCATAACAGCAATAATAAAACAGCAACTAGTAGAACGCAAACACCAATATGAAAATAAAAAAAAGAGTATTACTTCTCAAAGTAATAACAATAGTTTATTAAAACTTTAAGGATATTCCACAATTTTTATTCAGTGTTTTAATTTGAACAGTAAAGCCCATTCCCACCAAGAACGATAACTATAAAGATAACTACAGCAATAACTGTACTAGCATCCATACCAACGCAGGTATGGTTCTATTTATTATAAGGACATGCTGCAATTGTGTCATCTGCCGCTTTAAACGCTCAAGCTTTTTAAAGCAGGATGGATTGAGAATGGTATTGGACTGCTATTCTTTTACATTTAGAACAATTTGTACAACTATATATTTATTGCTATCATTATAAAGTTATCGTCCTTGGTGCGAACGGGCCTTGAACCTCTACTGTGCAGTGCAAAGAAATAATAATAATAATAATAATAATAATAATAGTTAAATTATCTTTTAAATGATAAATTAATGATTACATATTTAAGCCATTAAAATGGAATAAAAAATAAAAATAGTATATGGAAAACAGAAATTTGAAAAAAAATAAATACAAAGACAGAATAGACAGAGCCCTACATTTTGTTTTAGAATGCAACCCAATTCAGACCTTTTTAAGTGTCCTTTGGCCCACTGTTTTTGCTTTTTACCAATTATTCCCAAAATATGTACATTGAATACAATACTTGTACCCAATTCTGTGCATTGTAATAAATTTGATGAATCATTGATGCCACTGCAGCGTGTGTGTTTGTGTATTTCCCAATGCTTTGGCAGTGTAAACAAGGATGGTTCATTAGGGGTGTTAGAATTAATTGTTTCTACAATGCAACGCGATGCAGACGTGGACGATTCTGCATCGATGCAGTAATAGACCATAATCGATTATAGCCTACTGACATTTCTCTGACATCATTCGTAGCCGGAGGGAGGCGAAACACAAAAACAAATAAACAAAATGCACCTACTATTTTACCATTTACAGTGTGTGTGTGTAAGAATTATTGTAACTTAAGTACACTACTTGACAGTCTCATGCACTTTTAGTATTTACTAGTGTTTATTAGTTCTAAATGCTCCTGTCGTGTGCATTGCTCAGACGCAAGTTTTGTTTGATGTTTGCTACATTTAGGAAGTGTACTTTCTTGGAGCAGATTAAATAAAACGGGAGTTCATACATCTGACTGCTTGTATTCATTGATGAAAACGTAGCCATGTGCAGTAATATTGAAAATTGAGGATGCAACGCATCGTGCTATCGAATCGAAACATTGACGTGATAATCGCAATCGAATTGAATCGTGAGACCAGTGAAGTTTCACACCCCTATGGTTTATATACTGACTCAAAACAAACACCACACCGCACCGATACAACACAACCCAAGCTGGTATTGGCAGCCTTAACAGAGAAAAAGGGAGAAAGAAAGAGATTGTGATGATACAAAAAATAAAAAATAAACCAAGAGGGAGAGCATACCTCATAAAAGCCAAAAATGTGATGAGGGAGACGCTGACTACCCAGCCAGCTGCTGCAAAGGCCTTGGGCATGGTCAGGGCACCAGTGCCAACAATTAGATTGAACATGTACACCAGGCCAACCTATAAAAACACAAAACAAACACGTCTATAGCGGATTCAAAGTTTTCAGAGATCACAGATAAAATAAAAATGTATAACAAGCACTTAAGTTTTACAATGCACTGAAGTTTTATCACACAAAGTTCCCATTATGCATCGTCTGTCTTTCTTGTAAAGATTATGGAATTGTTCACCATCATGCATTTTTAATAATCTGATGTATGTGATAACTCATTTGAGCAGCACTGCATTTCCTCCCACTTGAGTGCACAAATCACATAAATCAATAACGTCTGTTGAAAAATTAGTCATGAGCTTGACATACAGTATCTACTGTCAATTCCATTAGAAAGCGATAAGTATCTTCCTTATGATTGGCTGAAAAAAATGTTTCAAATTAACAAATGTGAGCAAAACAAACTGTACTCTCAAACTATTACCTTATGTACCTTACTTTAAACATATGGATTTATTTTGGCTTATTTCAAGAGGTTTCTTTTCAAAGAGTTTGCAAATGAAAACCAAAGCACATTTTTGGTATTTTGGGAGCAACAAGAATACGTTTTGCATTACAAACAGATTTGCAGGCTCTTATATGTCTTGAACTGTCTAAAAAAATCAATAAAAGTAGGTCCTAAAGCCCCATATAGATATAGTTAATGTGTTAAAGACTAAAGATATCTTTATTGCTGTTCACTTCTTTAACACAATTAATTTGCACAAATGTCTAGCCATTTTCCCATATTGACAGACGGGAAAATTAGTTCAAGGAAACCACAAAGCTAAATGCCAAAAACACACGAGTCTGGATCATGCACTGCTTTCTGCTGATTCAAGTCATTAAAGCATGTTTCTCCTGGTTCCTGAGCTTTCATTTCCTCTTTAAATGAGTAACACAAAGTGTGTGGTTTAAATCACATGACTCCAAAATGACATAAAGGCACCTAACAAACTCATGACAACTGACATTATTGAAAAACATAGAACAACATTTCAGCAACGTCTGTCATTGCTTTAATTACAGGTCATCAAATATTGAACTTTTTCATGAATGCAGGTCAGAAGCCTTTCATTACAGAGCAACAGAAAAAAACATCACATCACATGCATGACATGACACAAACAGCTGAGTGTGCGGAACAGTTAAACTGGCCAATGTGACTAGGTAAAGTAGTTAAAAAATGTTAATCAATACCAACTCCATGTGCTACAACTCAGTAAGAAGTAGCGTTAATACTTACAAATGGTGAGTAAGGCTCCCCTGATTCTGTGATGCCCCCAGCCATCTCGAAGCAACAAACACAACCCTCAAACCTGAAATTTCACCACCCTGAGGAAAGAAGATACTGTTTTAATATTTAATACACTACAATTTTGCCAAAGGGACATAAGAAGGCTATTGTAACATGACTAGCAACAACCGTTGTTTATGTTTTATTTATAACGTTACTCACTCAGCTGTCAGGCAGATTTTATCAGTATAGATTTTTCAATGTTCATATGTGTTTATGTTAACACAGCAAATATGTCATAATCAGACAACTTTGTAAAAACATTATTTTGCTAACAGAAAGGCTCACCTGCCACCGTTTGAAGCAACTCTAGTGGTAAAGAGAAGTGATATCGTTAGGAAAGCACGAGACTGTTTTCTTGTAACGTCCTCACTATCAGCAACGGAGCTCGTGCGCAAATACAATGTATTAACAAAGTAGAGCGCATCGTGCACACCTCCCCATTATTTTATTAGCGGTTAATTAAGACAGGCTGCAGAAGTTCTTCTGTTTGAGAAATCAAATCCATTAAAATGAAAGAGTAAACAGAACGTCAGCAGGAAACGGTTCCCGAGAGAACGTGTCGCGTAGATAGGAAGTGCTCGCTGATTGGCTGACTTGTGGTGACGTTTAGGTGATGTTTGCAGTGATGAGGCAAGAGATTTTAATTATATTTTGAGTTATTCACTAATTTAGAAAGCAATGCATAACGTGGTTTTTAAAAAAAGAAAAGATGTAGCTATTATATTTTTAAATGTCTGATTAGAATGGTCAACAACAGTGTCTGATTGTATTTAATACATGGGTAACACTTTTCAATAAGGTTCATTAGTTAACATCAGTTAACTACCTTAGTTAACATGAACTTAGAATGACTATTACTATACGTTATTCAAATGAAAGGTTGTATTTGTTAACATTAGTTAATGCACTGTGAACTAACATGAACAAACAATGAACAGCTGTATTTTTATTAACCAACAACAAATTTTAATACATGCTGTAACAAATGTATTGCTCATTGTTAGGTCATGTTAGTTAATACATTAATGTTAACTAATGAACCTTATTGTAAAGTGTTACCAATACATGATAATAATGCTGATCACTGAGGTGAGTTTTTAACAAACAACATGTATAACTGGTTCTCGACTAATTTTTGAATGTATAACAATCCAACATTTAGGTAATTTGCAGTTTATAGTAGGTGGGGTCAGTGGTTTCAGTTGTCCCACACTAAATAAATGATTTGGCATTCAGTACAGTATAGAGAAATGTTTTTACTGTAGAAAAGTAATCAGTTGACAACTTAAAGTGAGGAAACCAGTTGCTTTAAATTATTAAGTAAATAAACCATGTGTAATTGGAAAAATTAGGTTGCGTGGAATTCTCAAGTTGATCACCATTTTTATAGTGTTGGCATTCAAAAAAAGTGAACCAAAAACTAAATCCCTTTACATGCATGTATGCATATGTTCATGTAGCTTTGCCACCTTTTCTAGACCGCTTCCAGTGAGTTTAGAAGCCATTTTGTCAGCATCTGGACAGCTAAAGTAAAAAATCAGAGACCACAATTTGTTTTAATTGGACAGAAAATGTTTATTTCCCCATTCAAAGAATTTAAAGAAAGGTGATCACTGAAAAACAAGTCAACATAAAAAAAGAAGAGTGGGAAAGGGGGAGGAAAAGCAATGCTTCAGCAGACTTTCTGAAAATCATAAGCTAAATGCATTTGTCCTTTTAAATCTGACTAAAACAAATTCTTTAAACAAAAAGAAATCAAAAGTAAAAAAAAAACTTTTAAAGTCTAAACAAATCTTTGTGCATATGCACAAAATAAAATATATTAAACAAAACTATATTAACAAAAACTTAAATCAATCTTAAACGAAAAAGTAAAAATAAAAATAATTAAAAAATAATAATAAAAAGATACCACGGTCTTGGAGGAACACAGGTCTGCTTGGCAGCATATTGTTATTACAGTAACTGGAGCAAATGCATCTGTGCACTTATTTAGAAATTGAGGCTTGTTTTCCAATTCTAAATACTTAACAGCATGATGGTAAAATAGGACCACACCATTTTCAATAATATCCACTTTGCATTTACACTTTTTTTTTTTATTTAAGGTTAAACTTCAGTTTTCTTTAATTAAATGTTAAAGTAGGGCACATCCCATTTTAAATAAAGTTTTTTTTTTTACCAAATCTTTGAAATACATAGTCTAAATGTTGGAATATAGGCTTTTACAAAAAAAATAAAACAAAAAAAATACAACCCTAGAGGGTGGAGCAGCTTACAAAAAATTTATACATTTTAAAAATGAGATTGTCAGAGCTAGTGTTTAATGATGAGAGAAGAAACCTTAAGATGCAACTGTCTTTTCATAGAGACGAACATGCATATTGCTTTAACAGGCATTTAAAACCAGGACAACAGCTTAAAGCATGATCAAAACAACTAAAAAGAAGGAATAAAAAAAAAAGAAAAGATTTGGGAACCCTTTCCTAAACCCCATCAACAGAGCAATGTACTTCCAATTACATGATACTTAAAATCAAATAACATTTTTCTAGTTTATTTTTACTCCCGATAACCTATACTGCACGTTTTCACACAATTCATCAGTCTGTCTAAAAGAACAATTGCATATCGTGTAGAAGAATCTTACCACATTACATGCTATAACACAGGCTAGTTTTCTTTGCTAAAAGTACACCCAGTGTTAAATCGAAGCTCATTAAAGAAACCGCTTTATCACTCATGTTAAGATTGTCCTTACACAAGCCAAGCATTCTTACTCATAACTTCAATAGTTCCCCATCTTATGAGGGGGAACCTGACAGTCCGACTCCTTATTAGAGAAAGTGCTTATCAATAACGCCAGTAACTAAAGTTCCTTAAGAATTATAGTTATTTAACTCCCTATCATTTATTTTAAAAGCAGCGGAGGCAAACGCTCAATCTCTACAGTGAATTCTCGGTGCAAGCTTTCTTAGATCAATCTTTACATGTGATGTTTGCGACACGAAAGGAATAATGCTTAAATAGATCACATCGATCAAACCAGAAAAAGATTACTTGTTAGTTACTTTGTAAAGAAACCTCATTGCCCTTCTTGCCATGCGTTTTAGATGAACCAAAAAAAAGAAAACAAAACTAAGTCTCCGCTTAATGAAACATCACGTGAACATCGTAAAATCAGCAACTCCATTATGGTTCTTACAGGCTACAGCAGAATTATCAATGCATTAAAAGCAGTTTGTTCATGGAATGAAAATATAGCTCAATGTAATGTGCCGCCGCGGAAAGAAATCAAGCAGGCAGAAAATACAGAAATATGTACTTGTGTCATAATGATCGCATGCTTTAGTCATTAGCCAACACGTGTTAAACAATTACCAGCAAAACTAATAACTTTTAAAGTGAAAGTGCACCCAAAAATGAAAATTTGCATAAAACAATAAAGTGGATGATGATGACTACAGCGTTAAAAAAAGGTATAAGAATATACAATAAAAGTTAGTAAGGCTTAAGTACATCTTGTGTTAAATAATTGAGCAACATTTTCAGTGAATAACTACTTAATTTCAGCCTGTTTCTCACACATTGCCCGGCTTCAGAAACATCGCCTGTTTCTCAAACACTGCATAACTACTCTTAAATGCAAAAACATTTGTCCTATTTGGAGATATAATCCACTTTTTTGTTTTATGCAAAAGATTGTGCTAACCAGCATCTCACAGATGAGTTAAACATAATTTTGAGTAACAAAAGGATGAAAACTTTTCATTTTTGGGTGATCTATCTCTAAGAAAAACTCATTTTAATCAGGCAGTTTGCCTTAAGCATGTATGCCGCTCGTTGCATTTTCCGTGTGTGTGTGTGTGTGTGTGTGTGTGCTTTTGGCATCTAGCTGAGAAGCCATGCTTTGCTAAGGCTGGACTACTGAATGGCGTCGTTTTGTCCAATAAGCAGCTGGTGAATCTTGCCTGAACGATCCCTCCCTCCCGATCAAGATCCCTGAGCTTCAGGTTTCATTCCCGTTATGAGCGAGTAAGAAGCCAAAGTGTGACAATAAAATGGTTGATTTCACATTAACTCTCTCAAATCCTCTTTCACTACAGGAAGCAGGATCACAACAGATCGCAAACCGTCACACGTCTTTGGCTCCAACAGCAGGTAGTTCCCACAAACAGACAGTAACCCTCCCGCAGATTTGACCTGCAAGTAAAGAAAAAGGTGGCTCGATGTTTCTCCAGCTTGATTCGATGAGCTTTTACTTGATCACTGAGGTTATTCTCACCTAATAGTAGAATCTCATGTCAGCAGGGGCGGCATCTACACACCATAACAGGCTGAAAGTCTCTCCTTCAGCTGTGGTGGAAACTGTTCTGAGAACTGCTGCCAGTTATCCTCGCCAACCTGATCCTTGAAGCCGTGCAAAATCTAGAGGATATGGACAAATGCTGTCGAAACATAGTGCTTCTATCTTGGCCAACTGCAAACCCATCAAATCAAAGTTTATAGTTTCTGAAGAAGCGCATTCGTACCTTGTAGAACATGTCCCTCAAATCGTCTTTTGGAGTTACCCAGGAGGCCACAGCATCACAGAAAAAGATGAAGTCCTGTGTCAAAGCAAAAAAAAAAAAACTTTATGAAAGCTAAACTGGAACATTTAGTGCTTATCAGTTATCAAATTTCACTCATGGTTAATCATGCAGTTTCACTGTTAGGCAAAACCTGGCCTAAAATGTAGTGCAGTCACCTTGTGTTGTTGACACTGTGAAACTACACGATTTGTAAATTTCAACATTTAATAATATTATTAAAATCAAAAGTTGTTACTATTATTTAATGGATCTGAGCTAACAGTTGTATTTTTTAACTAGCATTAAAGATGAATAACTCCTGTAACAAATCTAGCTATTGCTCATTGTTAATGTTAGTTAAGGCATTAACTACCATTAATGAGACCTTATTGTAAAGTGTTACCTATTGATCTTTATCATTCTTTTGCACTTTAATCTGTTTGAAACATTTGTTTACTTTATACATTTTTGTGTATTGCTCTATTTTATTTATATGTTCATTACTTTTTATTTACAAGTTTTTAAACCTGTTATAGTATGACAAGACTTTGTTTGCAACTTAATTCAATATCGGGATAATACCATATACCGTGATAAAAGATTCAGCAATTATCGCAACATGAACATTTAATACCGTCACATGCATTCCAGTGTTATTCATGGGATTAGGCATAAGAATCTCGTTTCAAGGTTTTTTTTTCACATGGATGCTTTAAAATGTAACTGTCTCCCCTTTTCACTTCTAATCTATATTAGCAGAGTCTACTGGAATTTTTCTTCAGCAGGGTAAACACAATATTTATGGTCTGTCAAAATGACAGAAATCACTTTAAAATATTATTACTCAATGTTCCGTTAAAAAACATTTTTGATGAAGACATGTTACATTGATTAACATATGTGACCCTGGACCACAACACCAGTCACATGGGTCAATTTTTTGAAATTGAGATTTATACATCATCTGAAAGCTGAACAAGCTTTCCATTGATGTATGGTTTGTTAGGATAGGGCAATATTTGGCCGAGATACAACTATTTGAAAGTTTGAAATCTAAAGGGTGCAAAAAAAAAATCATCGAAAATCGCCTATAAAGTTTTCCATTTATGTTCGCGATTGTGCTGCATTCACTCACAAAAACAAATGTTTTCTATATTTACGGTAGGAAATTTACAAAATATTTTCATGGAACATGATCTTTACTTAAAGCTCCAGTCCGTAACTTTAAGTTAAAAATAATCCAAAATAATTATATTAAAAAAAACTTATTCTGCCAGTGGTCAAAACTATCTGCTTGCCATAGCTAGATTCAAAACGGTTAGCTTGTAATAATGATTTTAATTCCAGTGGTACTGGTGGGTTTCCGCGGGAAATTCGAGCATGTCTTTGCGTCATGACGTCACACCCGTACACATAAAGAAGGAGTTTCGGCTAGCCGGCTATACTGCGCGTGACGAGATGTTTAGATGTATAGGCTTTTCTCGCAGCACTTTACATAATTAAACTTATGGCATCCAGAAAGATCCAAACAACAATCATCAGTGTCAACTGGAGATTCAGCAATTATAAAACCCAAAAGACTTCGTACTTCGGATTTAAGGTGGCTAGAGAAAGAGAAAGAAACCGTCTCATGCGAACACAAGGATTTAAACATCGGCGGGGCTTTTGAAAAGTGCGTGAACTCCGTGTTTTGAAGGGGTTCAAAACGGAAGAGACGGCTTTTTTCTGCTGAACAAGTAAGACATTTCAATAGTTCAATCGTGTAACAGTAACAGTACGTTTTCTTAATTCACACAGTTATGGAGTTTCCTTTGTTGTGCATTTCTCGTTTTGCTATTATGGAGAATATGAATTCTGAACTACACAGGTAGCTGCTAACCATAAAACACATTACATTTAACATTAGTCACGCAATGCTGATGTTGTTAACATGAACAATTTGAGAACAAAGTAGGCTATAATTTGCACGGTTGCTGTAAATCGCGTTGATTAAATCTAACGAAGCTTATCATGTCGAATGCTTTTTCCCCCTTAGTTGGTCAGAACAAAAATGGATGTTACTTGTTCAGAAGACATTTTCTTATGAAAATTCTTATGTTGGTCAAACTTTCAAAAAGTGAATCTGTGATTCTGTATAACAGTATCCACACAGCGCATAATTCAATAACAAATAGATCATTTTAACCCATACAATGTATTGTTGGCTATTGCCACAAATATACCCACGCTACTTGTGACTGGTTTTGTGATCAAGGGTCACATTAATTACTACAGCAATATTTAAGACGTACGTAATATTGCTGCAGAAATAATCATGGTTTTGGGGTTATTTATGAGCTATTGAAGTAATTAATCCAGTTATTTTGTATATTGCTATACAGCAAGTACATTTTATTAAATTCAATCATTAAATTATCTCCATTTGGACCATGGATTTGGTTTCCCTCTCACCTGTACGACTCCTCCCGGATTTACCCCAATCATTATGCAAATGCCTCTGAAGGCAGAGTCTTTCTCTTCATTGTCCCGAATGTTTCTAAGTGACGTGCACCTAGGTAATAAAAAAAAGGATGTTAATGGAGAGGTTCGTTAGACTCTATGGTTTAAGACACATGAAAACAGAACTAGTTCACACATAAGATGCACTCAATGGTGCAATCAACATCTTACCAGAGGCGAATGAACTGTGCCAACATGGGGGCAACTTCCTGTGGACACACGTATCCCAGTCGACCAATCGTAATGGCTGTTTCAAAAGCACAAAAAAGGGACGTGAGCGCGTCTCAAAGTTTCAAGCTAAAAATTAGCACCAGCCAAAGCCACACAAATCAGAAGAACAATTTCTACAGGTAATTCAGGATTCGAATGTCTGTTTTTAAAGTCCATCATATATTCAGTGGCGATTTTATTGCAGAGATTGCATGAATTGTTCATGCTGGATCTAATCACCTGTGTTCTCCAGTAGAGTTTTGGGTGTATTAGGTCGGTTGATGATCTCCACAAGGTTATTGAGAACCAAGGCCACAAAAGGCTGCATCTCCGTACCTGGAAAAACACCAGACAAATGAAACGTAAGATTAATGATAAAAGCGGATTCCTTAAATGTGGCCCATTGCCTAAAAAAAACAAAAAAAAATCTGACAGATGTATTCATTGCTTAATTAACTGCTAGATGGAGAGTCACAATCTGGAGAGTAACAAACCCATTTCAAAAGCATTTTCCTTGCATCTTTTCCCGCGAAGCAAATGAATAAATACATAAGCAAACAAATCCGCACAGTACCGACAGTGAGTGAGCAATACGATCTAAAAAACAAAACTTTGTATGGCTGCCCAAAACACAGGACAGATATCTGATTTGCAGAATCACAATGCATTACATATTATATATTCTGTATATGGGTGGGAGTTGTGTGTGCATAAACACTCACCCATCTGAATAGCAATCTCTCCGATGGCCCACGTGGCATTGTTGCACACAGATATGAACTCAGGGTTGAGATTGACACCCAGGACAGGCATGAACTCAGCTGGAGAGGGTAAACGGACAACAATGACAAACTGACCAGCACAACACACACACACAAGCAACAGCTAGCATGAGAAACCGGCTCCCCAATTGTCAGGCTTTACTCAGTATGTCAAAGAACACAACTCACCGACGCATGGCTTCACGTGAAGGAAACACGCCTTCGTCAAGTCTCCTAGGAGAGCGAACGAACTCTGTCGCACTTCTGGCATGGGGTCCTTTAATTATACGACAAATAAACCAGTTAGGCATCGTTCATACAGCACACAAATAGCATTTCTATTATTAATATTATTAAGTTATTTATATATATAACTTTATATACACCATTGTACTAGAGCGCTACCTTTGTACGTTTGACTGAATTGTTTGCTTGTATTTATTTCCTATTGTATAAACTTTACACTTTATACTTAATTTGTTAGATGTCAGTTTTAATGAGCAATAATAGCCATTATAAAAGTGTAAGACATGGTTGTTTATGTCGCATTTCATTTTATTATATATATAGTGAAGCTAATCAGATTATATGTGCACATACTTTATTTTTAAAAAGAAAATGAAAAGAGAAAGGGTTGTGTTTTGTCACATTTTATTTTATTATACATACAGCGAAGATAGTCAGAGTATATGTGCACATATTGCCTAAACCACATTAATGTTTCTTTTTTTTTTTTTTATGAAAACGAAGAGGCAGGGTGGCATTTTATATTTTGTATTGTTATAAATATGCAGAGATAATCAAATATGCAGGTGTTGCTTGAACCACAGGTTAGCAATTTTTAAAATAAACGAAAAGAGGCAGTGTGGTGTTTTATAACATATTTCGTTTTATTGTATGCAGTGAGGATAACCGTAGCCAAGGCGAGGTGAATGACGTTATTACTAGGGGTGCGCGATTCAGAAAATGTCACGATTCGATACCGATTTTTTGTCTCAAGATTCGATTCAAAAACGATTCTCGATTCAAAAAACGATTCGCAGTATATAAATGTAGTTTACTTTTTCCTATGTGATTGATTGCAGTAGACACAATTTAAAAGAAAAAAACCCACAACAAATTAAATGTAGTATGATATTACTTTATATGTTTTCATACAAAAATAAAAACTTTTGCAACTAAAAAGTGCAAAGTGCCAAGCTTTCAAATACATTTAATTCAAGTTTAAAATAAAACTTAAATAAAAAGCTTTAACATTTAGCTTTAAAGTGCTGTAGTCAGATCAAACAATTATGCTAAATGTGGTTTAAGGACTACTTCAGCTACCAGGCTGACTGTTGAAATGTGAACTCGACTGGGCACATTGAACTTCCTAAAAATATATACTAATGTCATAGAACCCTTGCGAAATTATTTTAAAAAGCCACCGCTACTGGTAACATCTATGGTTAGATTGATTTGTTTAGATCCAGTGAAGTCGTTCATAGGCGTAATTTGCGGGTATCTCCAGTTAACTAGCAGAGCATTCATTTAGTTCGCTATTAAATAAGAGATCTGTTGTTTTTTAAATCAAGCCGCGCGCTCGTTTTCCGCTGCTATCAGTGTCATGGATACAGTGTTCTCTGTGGCTCGTGCAGTCTTCACTCGGACACGCGCTTCAATCTATCGCTGTTGTGGAGACTCCGGTGCAATCACAAAATAAAATGCACACAAACGTGATGAACATATTGGGTTTTGATGAGAGAGAGAAAACACTATACGAGTGCGGTTTAGAACCCGTAACCTCTGACACGCTTGGCAAAAGATCTACAGAACTCAAACATAAGATCTGCGGATCGATGCATTTATTTACGGGTTGAGCAGAGAGGCTGCAGTTTGACCAGCGGGCGGCAAGAACTTGCAATGTAACTATTTATCAGACCGGCCCTCGTGGCCTCGAAACACTACCGGACCACCGGTAAAAGTCCTGACTCGTGCACGCCATTAAAAAAAATATATTAATCGATTTTTGGAATTCTATTAATCGATTCTGAATCGGTAAAGATTGAATCGCGATTCAAATGTGAATCGATTTTTTTGCACACCCCTAGTTATTACGTACGCTGCTGTTTCCTTTTGCAGAATTACCAGACTTTCGCCCTGAGAAACGCCTAAGGATTTGATCATGCTGTAAAGTGTAACAATCACCAGGCAGTTGGCGCCCTCTGCAGGATCTTGTTACAATACATATACATAAATAAGTTGATTGTTTATATAATGTACATTACATTTTGTATTTTAACAGTGTGGTTTAATAAAACCACATGATTACTTTTGCAAATATTACATATAAATATTATCATGTGTATTATTATTATTATTATTATATACATGTGTATTATTATTATTATTATTATTATATACAGTGTATAATTGAGATACTATTGGTTTTTATCAATATTTTGAATTAGATTTTAATTTTATAATCTATTTTAAATGTAATTTTAGTTTTGGGGGGTTAGTTTATTCAGTTTCAGGTATTTTAGCACTTGAGGATAAACTAAACCAGACTACAAGACCACTAAACCGATTTGAGTTGGATATACCTTGGCTCATCCCAACTGATTTAACCGTACCTGCATGCACTGGAAGAGCAGGGTCATGATGTTGCTGCGGGTGACCAGCTGTTCTACATGAGCCCCGAGTCCCTCGGCCAGACCGCTGAGCAGATCAAGGGCCACAATCATGAAGTCTTTATCAGGGGACTCATACTGGTCAGGTTGCTGGTTATACATCTACAACAAGAACAGGACAAACAGATGTAAGGAATAAAACTAAAGACAACATGCTATGGTGTTCATTCTCAAACAAGCGTGCATGTCGACTGACCATGGCTTGAGCGAGGTTCTTCTGGACCAGGGTGACACAGCGCTGGTAAACTGGTTCACAGTAAGGCAGGAAACCACTCTGCAGGGCTGTGGCCACTGAAGACAGACACTACAAGGAAAAAGGGACACATTCTTAAGACATTTCTATCTTTGAAGTATGAATATCACACAATCCAAAAGGGCAGAAGAACTTTACCTCCAACAAGGGGAACAGATCTTTGTCTTCATCTTTTAACTCATTCCATTTCTGAATCAGAGGGGGCATGAGCTTTTGGATGTATTCCTGCTCAACAACAAAAAAGACATTTAATTAAAGACGAAAACGTTTAAGAATCATGTTCGTCCTCAAAATGAACATGATCTTACCGGCTGGTTAAGATGGTGTCCGACAGAGTCAGCAAGGGTTCCGATGGCATCATATAGGATCAATAAGTTCTTATGCTGGTACTTGCCGAAAGCAAACACCAGTGTGTCCAGAATGAAGCTCAAGTAGGGAACCAGCTCTGTACAGGCCTCCTCTTCCAGGGTCGCAAATGCGCTGATGTAAAGAAAAAGGATCAGCATTAGCTCAACGTTTCCTAACTGAAAGGTGACTGGTGAAATATTTCAGCAGGGAAATGTCCGGTTTGATGCGTTTAAGAGGATTTTAGGCACTTCCTAGCTCTTGAGGTTGGGAGGCTGACTGGCCAACCAGATAAACGCAGCGGAACACAATCTTTGCCAGACGAGATGACCAGCTATACCATTGTAAACCAGACACTCACCTTAGGGGCCATTCAAACAGAATGCGTTTTTGCGGTTAAAAACATTAAATGACAGGTCTAGGACAGGGAATCGAAAATCGATTCCAATTCTGGAATCAAATACTTAAGGTCAGGATTAGGATACTTTCAATTCCACTTGTGCATTGTTTTTGGTGCAGCACACACACACACACACATCCAAAGCGCTCTCACAAAAAAAAGTGATTTTAAACCATTCAAGCACAAAATTTATGTTCAAATGCTTGTGTGACAGGTGAAAATGTGTGAGTAAATGCAAAATTTGCATTTTTTGATGAACCAACCATTTACAGTTTGGCAAGAGTCATTTTGACACACTTTCTTGCGATTAGAACTGCGATTGATTGCATTGATCATCTGAAGAGGAAACGTGCGCTGGAACTCAAAGTGAAAGCACAATATCACCATATCACATTTACTTTTAGTATGATTATTCAAAGCGTTTTAGATGGTTTTAAATAGTGCATTAATAGCGAGTCTGTGAGATCCAACTACTGCCTGCATTGATAAAAGCATGCGTTTCAGTGACATTACTACATTAAACTACTATATATGTTGAATATAATGTATAATAATGCAATGGGGGATAATAATAATAATAGTAATAAATAGTAAAAAAAAAAAAAAAAAAAACTTATTTTGGCTTAAAATATCAAGATAGTATCGTATCGTGTTGTATCGAATTGTGACACGAGTGTATTGTTACACCCCTAGCAGACATGGTTGGATAGTCATTTAGGAGTTGGCCTGGATGGAGTAACTGGATGTTCTTCAACAGCGGGTCAAACACACCTGCAGGCGGCCTCTTGAACCCTCTTGTTGCTGTCAAGAATGCGTTTGAGCAGCTCGGTCATGAGGGGTTTGAGGTAGGAGTCGGGTGGCTGGCTGACCACCCAGTGTGCATAGCGACTCAGAGTCCAGCAGGCGATGGAGCGGACCAGTGCTTTCTTATCACAGAGACACTGGATCAGGTGAGGAATTAACTCAGGCAGGTACAGCACCATATCCTGCATACAGCCTGGGGACGAGAGAGAGAACAGAGTCATCATTCCATTCAAATATTTTTGCAGAGCATACACTACAGTTCAAAAGTTTGAGGTCAGAAATATATCTTTTGAAAGAAATTGATACTTTAGCAAGGTTGCATTTAATTGATAAAAAGTGACAGTTAAGACATTTCTAATGTGAAAAAAAGATTAAAAACATTTATATTTAAAAGGAAATGCTGTTCTTTTGAACAATTCTATTCTCAAAAAAAAAAATTTAAATCATCATATTAGAATTATTTCTGAAGGATCATGTGACTGAAGACTGGAGTAATGATGCTGAAAATTCATTTTCAGGAATAAATGAAATTTTAAATGTATAAAAAAATCTAATAAAAGTTACTCTTTACTGTAATTTTGCTAAAATAAACAGCCTTGGTGAGCAAGAGACATTTAAAAAAACATTAATATTAAAATATTCATTTTGAAAAACTCTTACTGACCCCAAACTTTTGAACAGATATATATAAAGTGCATGGTACACAGATTATTTAGTATGCATTTTATATAGGGGTGGAACTGTCAATTTGTATATTAAATAGAAGTGGTGTGCATGTTCATCCATTTTACATTTAGGCTTTTTACAGATTTGCTAACATTAAACATTACAATACTTCACCCCTAATGAATACCCAAATTACCTTTTACATTTGCCAAAGTGAGTAGATTAAATTGCCACAAAAAAAAAAAAATAGCAAAAATGACCAAATTGCAACTTGAATTAAATATGCTACACTAGCACATGACTTCACTATATTGCACATTACTGTTAAAAAATTATTTCATAGTCTTTTTAAAAATAGTGGGCAGTACACATAGCATTTAGTAAGCTGTATTATATCATTCTAGTCAGAATAAAGTCAAGGTTTAGTAGAAAGAGGGTTACATTTTACACGTCCTCATCCAGTGGACTATACCTTCAGCAATGGCTCCAAGCACCAGGATACCAGACTCTTTACTGACCCAGTCCGGGTGGAACAGCAGTTCCTTCAGCACAGGGAGCAGGTGGGGCAGCAACTCATCCCGAAACACATTTGCCAGGACATCAAGGGCGGCTGCCGAACACTTACCTACAGAGCAAACGAACAGGGTTAGACCTCTTGGATTTCTCCAAGCACCAATCTAACTGCAAGCTTTGTGGATCAGACAGTATGAGTAATGAAACATCACTGACATTCATGACATTTATGAGTGTAATCATCTCCACAGAAAACACCAAGTATGTAATACTTGCTTAAAAAATTGGCAATATTTCCCCAGCATCAGGTTGGTTTCGTATTTAAAACACTTACGTAGATTCCAGTCGGAGAGACTGTCGTCGTCGTCATCATCATCGTCATCACTGTCCTCTCCTTCCTCCGCTTCATCACCTTCATGGCGAAGGGTGACGGTACGAGACTTGTGAAAGCGAGGCTTTATGTCCTGCTCGTTGTCCGGCACGGCCTCGTCTTCCTCCACATCACCCTAAACAGGAAGTAGAAAGTCACCATGTGATGAAACACAGCTGGTCAATTCTGGACCGCAATGACAGAGTCAAAGGCCTTGGGTCAGACAGTATGAATACTTGAAAATCATGGAGAAAATCAGGAATAATGATATAATCATACCCGAGGCCAGGCAGATGTAGAACTTCTTATGATTATGAAGCAAAGTAACTAACCTTTAACAAAATGATGTCAATCTCAGAGTACTTCATCCCGTTCACCAGAACAGGAACTAGTCTAAGGGACAGGAAGTCAAAATTAGTAATCAAGATATTTGAGGTATTGATGGATGTGAAAAGGTCAAGACTCAAGAGCATCTCTGACAAAAGGAAACATGAGATAATCTCTATTGCAACAGACAGGAAGTTCAAATGCTACATCCTGTATAGAAATGGCTACGGCATAAACCATATAGCAAAATCACAACCCGTTAGCACATTTATACTGTTCTATTTTAAATGCATAAAATGTCAAAAAAATCACAGCTGATCACAGCTATTTTAAATGTCTTAAATAATAATAATAAATTATTAAAAACAAACAATAAAACAAAATATAAACAGTTCTCTAACTTGTTCAGATTCTGCTATACTGTTTGATCTGCAGTTATTTTAAATGTCTAAACGGTTTTAAAGAAACTAAAAATATTATTATTATTGTTGTTAAGGAATACCATATAATAAAGTCCAATAAAATAATATATATAATTGTAAGTCATTTTTGGTATCAACTTTAAAATAAAAAGCAGTGATCAATAACTCTTCTTTAAAATACTTTTTTTTTTTTCCTGTGACACCTGGAAATAAGTCACACTACAGAAGTTAAACTGGCTGCTAATGCCTGGCTAAGTTTTATGTTGACCAAGCATCATTTGGACTTGGTGTGAATCAAATGGTCAAGGTTATGATCCAGTTAGCCCCTGCTGGAAGATGTGCTAACTACACCCACTGGCTGCAATTAGCACCTTTCTTGATGGACACCCATTCAAACGCAGCCATGTATTTCAACAGATTAAAATACTATGTAATGTACCCAGCTTTAGTCACAATTTATAGCTTTATTCCTTCAATTAAACAAAAAAGTTTTAACCGGGGTTATCCAACTTTTGAGTGGGCTCACAAACAGCATTAAACTGATTTTTTCCTCGTCACGTTTTGCGGTTGACATCTGAAGCAAATCCACTTATTTCATGACTCTTCCAGGGAAAGAGAAAGGTCACTTACTGTGCAAGGTGTCCAGAGAGGGCATCCTTACAGATGGGCTGCTCAGCCAGCGTAAGCCAGAACTCACAGGCCTCCAGAGACACGTTCTCATCCGGGTCCTGTGTGCGCTGCAGCATGTACTGCAGGAACAGTCAACATCATCAGCATCTCTGATGGGTCAAAGTGTACACCACTTCTGGGTCATCACGTTCTTCTTACCTCAACGATGCTGCGCATGTGAGGGATGAGTCGGTCAACTCGGACCTCCAGCAGCATGACCAGAGCCCTGCACACGTTCTTCCGCACCTCCGAGTCCTCGTCTGCGGCCAGCGCAAACAGACTCTGGAGTAACAGCCAAGGAGGAAAACAGATTAAAACAGCGATTACAGTATAGCGTATAAAGGCGTTAATTGTTTCACATGGGGGACAAAAGGGTAATTTTGACATTTACAGGTGCTAGTCATGGGCAGAACTCTTTACTGCCCTACTTCAAAAAGCCTTTTAAAGGTATACATGTGAATTAAACGTGGCACAATGGCCTTTAGGGCTGCAACGATTAGTCGACGTTGTCGACAATGTCGACAATAAAAATTTGTCGACAAATATCTTTGTTGTCGAGTAGTCGTTTGATCTCACTTGACCTAATGTAAGGGCCTGCAATCCCGCGATTTGACCGCTACGGCGCTGTAGCGCTAGAGTTTAGTGCAGCCCTTACAAATGCTATTGCGGTAGAAGAGAAAACAGCGCGAATTATGACAGTGCAAACGAATCCGAACTAGCAAGGTTTAGGTTTGGGAAAGTTTCACAAAACTTCAAATCAAGAATGCTGTCGTGTGCAATTTTCACGGGAGCACAACATGCATGTTGGAGTGCAAGAGGAAACATCCCGGCAAAAGAGGAGCCGGTGAGAAGTGAGTGTTCTCCAGCTGGAGCTTAGCCTACTAACCAGCGGTACATCTCTCTTTATTAGAGAATGCAATACTACTAATAATAGTAATAATATTATCAATAGTAATATAATTACAGTAATGTGATGACTTATTTTGTATAGAATAAAGCTTGATCGAGCTTAGGAGTCAGGGCTGTTTTTATTATTGTAACACTATTAGTATATTAGGTATTATTATAGTCTTATCACTTGCCTGTATTTTGTTCAATAATCATGAAGACTTACAAAACGAGATGTTATATCCTTCCTATGATATAGGAAGAATATCATGGCAGTTACTTTATCATACTATAAATTAAAAGGTGAATGAGAACGTCTCTGTCAGCTCAATTGTCATGTAAAAAAAGATTGTAATTTTATACTTAGAATAATTGTTTGCAGATTAATATTTTACCATTCTTTGTGTCCTGAAGTAAATGTCCCTTTTTCTGTTTCAGTTCTAAGAAAAGCAGTGGGCCTATTAAACAATGCTTAGAGAGCATTTGTGTGTGATTTGAGTTGGACCGAAATCTGAAAACTTAGAGAATGACCTGTTTAGTTGGCTCAAAGTTCATTAAAACAACTATTTCAAAAGCTGAAGTGATTTTCTTTTTTTATATTATAATTAGAATATGTATAACTCAATGTTTTAACTAATTGGAAAAGCTGAATAATCGTTCCAAACTTACTGATTAGTCTGCGAACTAATCGACGATTAGTCGTTCTAATAATCGTTAGATTAATCGATTATCAAAATAATCGTTTGTTGCAGCCCTAATGGCCTTCATCATCACAGTGTGCTAATGCCTATCTAGTGCAAGGGATTTCATCAATATGCTGATTGAGGACTGTTGGGACACTCCAGGCACAGGATGGTTCTGTCAGGAGAGACAGTCATTTGCACCTCAATGACACGTCTGTACCATTTGCTTCACAGGACATATGCTTTCAACTACATACTGTTTATTTACTAGTGTGTTCTAATATGTAACTATGCCATGTTTGGTCTCATCTGACAGCTTATAAACTGAAATGAATAGTGGTGAACTTAGAGATATTAAAGTATCCTAATGTTCAATCTAGATACTATTGGTTAAACATGCATTGAGGAGAACATGTTAATGTTCTTCTCCCCCTCTTGATCATTATCCATTTCCCTTATCTTTTGGTTTCGGTGTTGGCATTCACCTCATGTTTAACAATGCTTTGCTCAGGGTATAAGGAGTAAAGGTCTTCTCTTCTGCACAACAGTGCATTATTTGTTACTTACTAAGTTTTCTATACAGTGTGTTGTTCCATTCTACTGGCTGTATATTTAAACATGTAACTTAATAAATAACTTTGCCTGCTTTAAAGGCTTTGAGAATCTTTCCTTTTATCACTGATTATGTTGAAAGCTAAAGTGATTATAATTTTTGTTATCTAAAATGTTCAGGTTAAATCCTACGTTTTCCTATTAGTTCTAAGAAAGACCTTTACCTTTAAAAAATAGGAGGTTAAAGAATAACAATTTTAATGGAGTCAGAATAATTATATTGGAGTCAGATAAATATTTGGATTATACACGTCATCCTTCATCTGCCTTTTGTTCCGATTACTGGTTCAAAATAGCAGCGTAAGCTTTCAGCCTAACAGAATCCAAAATGTCTGTTTTGCTCCCACCACTTGCTGTATTTTCTCCTCATTAAATAAAACATGAATCTATTAACTGACCAAGCAATAACAGACTGACAATAGCTGACTGATGTCATGAGCAGCATTATTCTCATGTTCGTAGGATCACAGAAATTGCTTCTGCACCTTGAATAAACCACCATCTGAATGCATACATTATCACTGAGGTATATAATACAGCCCGACCGATATGGATTTTTACCAATACCAAATATTTTTTGGCTGATACCGATATTAGGAAGTAAAAAAGCCCGATATCGATACATCAGCCAATATTATTTATGCATATATTATAGTACAGTACCAGTCAAAAGATTTGACAAACTTTCCCATTCGTGTACAAACTTTTGACTGGTAGTGTATATAGAATACACAGTATACATAAAAAGAATATATATAAACATTTTTTGCAATGATCACTCAAATGTGGTGATCAAACACTTGTGTGACAAAGATATGTAATGGAGGCAGGGTGAATGATAGAATGAGAATGATACATTTGACCTGTACCAAACTAGTTTGTATTGCATACTCTATTCTATATTATACTCTAATACTGTTGCATAATCATCACTAATGACTGTCTTTTTATTTAGTCACGTTATATAAAAAATAACTTGAATCAATAAATATATCAAAAGTGTCACTGACAAAACCTTGTTATCTTCTATTGTTAGTCTTAATTCCTCTAGTCTCAACCAGTGGAGGAAGAAATCAGATCTTTTTTACTAAAGTAATAAAACCATAATGAAAACATATGAAGGCTACAGCACTTTTATACTATTTTAAATTAGTCGGCAAAATGTACTAAACGTGAAACTACTCTTCATGCAAAATGGCCCTATATAAAGTGTTATAATTATATAAATTATTGGAATATTGCTTGATGTGGTAAAGCAGCGTTATAGGCAGAATGAGCTTTAACACTTGTGTCTACGCCGGACGCGGCCGTTGTTGCTCGCGTCACAACAGCTGTTTACCCTGGACGTTACGAACGAGGCATCAGTTTACTGTCGGAGATTTGTCGCTCGCGCATTCAGTGTAGACCACATCACAGATTATATCTGCGACCGGCTCATATCGGCCGATAATATCGGCAGACCGATAAATCGGTCAGGCTCTAGTATATAACTATGAGAAATAATTACTGTCCAAATAGGGTGTAATGTTAATCAAATGATTATTAAATCCAGCATGCTTACCTCAATAAAGGTGTCAATGTTGTCCATCAGGGCTTGCGCTCTTCCGATGATAAACTGATTCACACATGCAATAGCATGAGATCTGCAGAACCACATGAACGACCATTAGATTCCCAGAAATATGCCAAAGTTTTATTCAAGAACAGAATTCGGGACATGAAAAGTAACCCCATCCTTCCCTCGACTGACCTGATCTTTGGGCTGCAGTGTTTGAAGAACTGCAAGAACTTGGGAATCATGATGTTGAGGGGTCGGTTCAGAGCGTCACTGTCCAGGAGCTCAGACGAGTCCTCGCAGATCTTCTGTAGAGCTCCAAACGAGCCCTGTGTGTGTGAATGAGAACAAACTAAGATACAACTCACACCTGTGGGGAACATTTCTGGATGTGATACAGGAAGCATCACGACCACTTTGCCTGCATCATTTCCAAACACATTTGAATAAGAAAATGTGCAAGACAAAATAGAAGAGGAGAAGCAGGATAAATGAGCGAGAGGACAAAGACAGGTTTAGGTTAAAGGGATAGTTGACCCAAAAATGAAAATTCTGTCGTCAGTTACCCAGTCTCATATCGTTCCAAAACCATAAGATGCTTTCGTTCATGTTTAAAACACAAATGAGAATATTTTTTTATGAAATCTAAGAGAACCTTTCAGAACCTGTAGACATGACATCAACTGATTATCCATTGGTTTCACAGACATGGCTTAACCCTCTGGGGTCTGAGGTGTTTTCGGGGTCCTTGAGATGTTTTGGCATGCTCTGACATTTGTGCATTTTTCAGTTGCTTATAAACATATTAATGGCACAGGTGAAATTACACTCTATATAGCACACACAGGGCTACCATTATATGTGAGCAACATGTATGTACATGTTTGTATTTTTGAGAGAATATTGTTTATGCGTGGTTATTGAAAAAACTAAAAAATAAATTTTCTAATATATGGCCACAAATAACATACTAAATATCTGTCCACAAGACTTTTGACTAGTGGATGTTGTCGCCTAGAGTATTTGCTTCAAATTGATCTGAAAATCATTCTGGCTAATCATTCACATAAAACAATAGATTGTTTTAAATTGTGAAAAACATTTTTTTGTTTGCAAAGGCAATATGCGGATGGGCGGATCGGCCCAACCCCCTCATGAATAATTAGGCAGTTCTCACCTGAGCAGACTGCATACTAATGAGCCTTTCATTCAGGGGTGTCACACAAGAAAGAATGCAAGGACAATATATATATATAAATAAATAAATATTTATACACACACACACACACACACACACACACACACACACACATATATATATATATATATATATATGTGTGTGTGTGTGTGTGTGTGTGTGTGTGTATATAAATATTTATTTATTTATATATATATATATATTGTCCTTGCATTCTTTCTTGTGTGACACCCCTGAATGAAAGGCTCATTATATATATATATATATATATATATATATATATATATATATATATATATATATATATATACATACATATATATATATATATATATATACATATATATATATATATATATACATATACATATATATATATATATATATATACAAACAATCAAAATATAAATGAAAGCCAAAAGCACATTTTTAGTCACACATTTTAGCCATCCACATACCATTTTTAGCCATCCACCGCGGTAAAAATAAACCAGTCGCATTTCAAAGTCGTACGCGAAATGACCGCCAGGTGGCGCAAAGGGACATTTAGCAAAACGTAAGTGGGGCTAATGTCTATTAACAGTAGCCTAAGGATGAAATACTACAAGTTATGGTAATTTCCAAATAAGCCTACAACAAATTGTTGGTCATACAGATAAGATATAATCTTTTAAAACTGTAAAAGGTTAAAGTAGGCCTACACTCACAGGCTAAAGACAAAACGTTTTCTCGCTCATGTGAGAATCAAACGTTTGGTTATTTCTCAGTAACAAAATTCATAGCCGAGCGGTAGAACTGATGGTTCATCATCAAGATGACACAGGTTCAAATCCCGCACAAACATGGTCTGCTGTATATTTTATATTTATTATTGCAGAGAGATTTGTCTAGCTCTAAAACTCTGTTACACCATACAGTTTTGTTTTATATAGGCTATATATATTTTTTTATTTATTTATTCCAGGCTCTCACGCCACCCCCCCGATTTCTCACGCTGAAGTGTCAACCCGGTCGGTCAAATTCCTGAAAGATATAGTTTATCTATAGATCTACCTGTTGAGCCACTCGTGATCGACTAGTTATACCGTAAATTAGTTAAAATATCCCGTAATCTATTTAGAGCGAGCGTGCATGCGAGACAGATATTGTGCTCCAAACCGTGCGCGCGCATGGCAGAGAGGTCTGTTCCCTACAACCTAGAGTTTTTAAAAACATGGTTTTAAGTAAAGTGTGATTTGCCAGGGGGGACTGGGATTTCCTTCTGGTCTAAACATCCCTACTTCTGCTGAATTATTTTAATCCCCACACCCCTCCCTCCACAGCTAATCAATGCTATAGGCTACTTCACCAATATCAAATATATAAAATAGAGATATGCAACAGGCACGTTTAAACGAAAAACAATAAAATCAAAACCAGCGTTTCAGTTGTTCATTAGTTCCAGTGGCCTTAATGCATGCACGGCTTTTCAAAATTTCACAAAGCGTGTTGAGATTATTTTGAATGAAATATTGAAGTTTATAATTAAGTGTTTTGGCACACCACGCCGAGTGACCCTATGCATTTTTCTAAAGTCGGGTTTTATTCTGGCATCGTGAGTTAGTGTTCGACAAACGCGGCGGCGCGTTCATTTAGATTAATTTATTTATCTCATTATTACAGCTAAAATAACTTAATAGGCGACTCCGTAATTTTTTGGTCATACAGATAAGAGTAGAGTAGCTTACATCGTTCAAAACTGTAAACTTGTATTCATATTAGGCTAACGACAAAAACAGTATATCTGTCCTCTCTGTCTCCGGGAACTGCGCGTCACAAAAATGAACCGAAAGCCACTTCAGCTCAGTCACGATAAGAAATCGGCTATGTCTAAAGCCTTTAAATGTCTAAATATTTAGGCTAATAAATGTTATCTGATTATGTAGGCTAATCCATATGAAAACGAGAGGTACAGAGGATCTACTCAAACATGCGCTTCCCAATGAGAAAATGACAAGACATGGGTGAAAATCTCGCTCTAATTAAATGTAGGCTAAATCGCCCTGAATTAAAATGTAAAAACATAATAATGTATTTGTCGAAATGTTGCGATATTGTTTCATTTAAGTTCATAATTATTCTATAAATGTTATTTAATTTAGCAGCATTACCACGAAGCACCGTGTTTCGATATTTATTTGAATAATACAAAATAAAATAAAAACTTAATTCACAAATTGCATGCCTGGTTGTAAGGATCCAAAGATCCCTGTAGACTTTAATATTAAGTGACAACAAATTCACAAGCGTTTTTTCAGATTATATTTAGTTTTGCTTGGAAAAAGCTGCCCCAAACCAGTTTTATTTCATCAATTATTGAAATAATGAAATATTTAGTAATAAACTTTTATGACAGAAATATCACTAGGCTACATGTAACTTAAATCATTTAATTCCTTCATTATCAACACTGTCTAGAATGGCGATTTAAGTGTGAATTGCGACTTCTCTTTGTGTTAAGTCAGCCTCAGACTCCGATAGCCTGTGGGGGGTTGGAGGGACAGTTGCTGGACAAAGGTGTTAATGTTCCTCTTTCATATGGAGAGTGTCGGATAGCCAGCCTGATGAGCAGGCAAAATTATTGTAAGGATAAATCTGTGTCCAAATGTAGGCCCCATATCTTATTAAATTATAAATATTGTAGTTTATTTATTGTAGCCTATTTAAAGTTTTTTTTTCACACAAAATTTCAATTGAAGTTATTGTAAGGTGAATTCAACAAGGCATGCTGTGTCTTTGAAGCAACAATTAAAGGTTAAATAATTTTTTCGTGATTTGTATGGCTGACACGCAGCGACATATACAGTATTATCAGCTGTATGATGTGTTTTTACCCTGAAATGATTAATTTCGAGAGAGAGACCCGCGCGCGCAGCGAGGGAGACTAAATAAACTTGTTAAAAAGAGATCCAGCGCGAGAGAGGCAAAGAGAAACGCATGTTTTTAATTTAATTATGTTTCTTTGGACAATTTTCGTTTTGTAGGCCTACTGTTTTAATTGTTTAATTTAGCTGTAATTTCTTTGGCAATACAAATTTAAAATGTCGCAAGAATAAGATTAGCCTAGTGTTTCTTATTTTGCATCGCAAAAGAAATAAACTCTAAACAAGATGCAACCCTGTTTTAAATGAAACAATTTAAACCTTGAAATGTTCGAACTTGGTTTCAAACTTAAGTAATTTTAGTGTTCTTTTACATTACACAATAATTTAGCAGACTAAAGACGAGCTTCTTCATTTTCATTTTCTGATCGGCTGACAATCTTCATCAGTTTTTGTCGTTTGTGCAGCGGCTGCGGTTCTACAGGAATGTAGCAAATTTATGTTGTAATGATAATCAAACAAAACTCTTGACTTTAAATAAGTAAACAGATATAAACAGTTACCTATTTAAGCATCAAGGTGGGAAAATATAAACGTAGGACAACATCGGTTAACAACATCTATGCTACATTGAGATTCGATCTCGGGTCTGTTGAAGCTCCTCGAAGCTCGTGTCGTTGCGTTGATCACTGAGCTATCGTCTGTACGCTGTTAAAGTTGTAAAGCCTCGTTCATGTAGCCTAAATGTTTTTATTGCAATGTTTTATGTTGAAATGTTTTCATTATTTATTCAATTACATTTCAGTAGCCTAATTTCAGTATTGTGATTATGAATTATTTTAACTACGTTTCACTTGTTGAATTCTTCTGCTACCAGCTTTCAATCGCTCTGAATCAGCGCGGTGCGGCAGCAGATTACGCATTAGAGAGAATAAACCGGAATAAACGAACACTTTTCAGAGTCTATGATTGTAGCGCCTCTTAGCGGTAAAAGGCAGCAAATACACCACACATTTTACCGCCGCGGTGGAACAGCTGATGTGGGCGTTGTCATGGCTTGCCTCGACATTTGCGTTTGAATAGCGCGCGTCGTCCGTGGGCGTGTCAGATTAACGCGTAATGAAGTGTAATGAGCTGGGGGAAAAAATACTGACAGCACTCTCTTTTCATACAGATTGCATAAACTGAGAATATTTGTTTTTTATATAAATTACTTCATTTAAAAGAAGAGAATTCAAGCTTCATAAAGAAAAACCTCTCGTGCCTGTGTGACAAGTAATCGCGGAGTTACAGTTAATCTTAGGACGCGTTTCAGAATGGACTTCACTGACAGAGAGAACGCAAAACTCGCATCATGTTTGTTTTTCTTTATTTGGTGAAAAGCACAACACTTTGTTTTTATTGTGAGTATCCACAAAAAAAATAGAAACTTAACAGGATCTAATGATGTACAACACTTATATGTAAGATCAAAATTAACAGAGTAATTTGAGTCTCTTTTGCACTGATAAGGAAAAAAGTGAGCTGGTATCGCCGGCGAGACCGCCGACCCCAGAGAGTTAAGCTAGTCCAGACTCAAATGCATATTGTTTTGACTGAAAGCAACTTGCACAGATGCACACCAGTAATGTTTTTTTTTTCAAAGGCATGTTTATAAAAGCTAATTAAATGCCCTAATTGAACGAAGGCCTAATCCTGGCTTAATCTAAGCCCTGTCTGTGAAATCAGGCCTGACAGTATTAGCGTTTCTGTATCCTGAGTTAGTTTGAGGCTGGATATTCTTACTAATTTTCTAGAGCCTATGGAAGCTCAACCGTACTTGCTAGAGGCGTGAGAACAAAACGTGATGGCGTGACGCGTGAATAAACATGTACATTTGCTGATCAATGATTATATGTGAATAAAAGCCTAGAGAAAATTCATTATATAAAGCGATCATGTCTCTTCAGAAGACTGTTCAGTTCAAACAGATTTCTTTTACAAATTCTTTATGAAGCTTCAGAGTTGTGGGTGAATGTTCTTTTAACGGACGGACAGAAATCTCTCAGATCTCATTCAAATATCTTCTTTTGAGTGCCGAAGATGAACCTTACAGGTTTGGAACAACATGAGGGTGTGTAATAGGGATGGGCGATATGGACTTAAAAATATATCACGATATTTTCTGCCATTTATTGCGATAACGATATCAATGACGATATAAATACAATACCATATTCACCACTGTTTTTGGCTACAAGTGATAGCTGCATGCAAAGTAAAATGTACCCTTCACCAAATAGGCTCCTATAAAATACCAATTACCATACATAAAATAATAATCAAAAAACAGTAAAACAGTAAACACCATCCCTTGCAGAAATGGAAAAGTTGCATACGTTTCTTCTGTAAAAGTGCAGATAATGTTTAAATAGTGCAACTATACTGAAAAACATCACACAGTAATAATTCAAATCATTTACAAGTTTGAAATATAAAAAAATCTAACAACGAATAGTTATACTAATACTACTACGAATTCTGATACTAATAACAATATAAACCACATTAAGGATTGATGAGCTGCTGGGTTCATGAATATCATCACGTCTGCGTTTGCGCATTAGTTTCTGCTTGCTCAAAGCTGAATAATTCCAAATGAGCTTTACGGATCACTTGACGGAGAGCGACACTCTCAAGCGCTCAGTCAGTGTTCGGCGAGATGGGCGGATGAAAATCTGTGTGTACCAGTTCCAGATTGTAGAGGTAGTTACTCGTTTAGCGATAAACTTCACCTCAGCTCCACGTCCGCCTTCCGCCATGCGCGTGAGCTGCGAATGCGTCCCGTCTTAGGCTTTATCGTTATTATCGCGGGAAGACTAATTCTTATCGTGAGGAAAAATGTTAACGATATATCGCAAACGATAATATATCGCCCATCCCTAGTGTGTAAATGACAGAATTGTCATTTTTGGGTGAACTATCCCTTTAAGGCAGCTATGAAGAGTGCAGAGGCAAGGCACAGACCTCACAGATGTTGTAGTCCTCGGAGTTGAGCATGTTGCACAGCTGGGGCAGCAACTCCGGCCATGTCTGCAACTCCCCTTTGGTGGAAATCGTTGTAATTAGGATACCTGAAGACAGAAAGAACAAGAATCGTCACATTTCCTGACACTGAGAGCATACTAGCAACAGAACGATATGATAACTGCTTGCTGTAGGGATGCGCAAATAATAAAATTCTGTCTGATACCAGTAATTATTTTCATGTTGTTAACCGATAAATGTACAAATAAAAAAAAAAATCATACTAATTTGTGAAATCTTAAATTTAAGCATCACAATATTATAATGCGCAGTAAGAAAAAGTTATATTTGTTCTGATATTTGCGAAAGATAACGTTTTTAAAAAATAAAGTGCAATTTCCAGTCAATAACATTTGAGTTCATGTAGATGCTTGACTTACTCTAGAGCGCGAGGAGAGACTCACCGATAGTGGCGCGGATGAGAGGGGAAGGGTCTCCGATGTTGTTTAAACATTCCTGCTTGATGAAGTGTGCGACTCCAGGAGGGAAGTTCTGATAGTGAACCTTCACGTTGTTCTTCAGTATCAGACCGCTGAGGGATCGAGTGGGCTCATCTGTGGAGTGTGAAGGAAGAGAACAGACATTTATATAATCAGTCGCAATATAAAGACTGTCTGAAACCCTATGGAACAACACACACACACACGTGTAATATGAGAGCATGCAATAAGGAGAGCTTTACACAAAAATAAACCCAGACACCAACCTTCAGTTTTCAGCCTCGTCAGGACGAAGATGAGATAGTTGTTGAAATCAGGAAACTGATTCAGCTGCTCTAGTTTCTGAGAAATGTTTAAGAATATTACAGTTGCTGTAATAACAGCTGCAGTTCAACATGCACATTGACACTATTTTAGAAAAACAGATGAAGTATATTTCATCTATATGATGACAATATATTTAACACTTAACAGTAAGGTCCCATTAGTTAACGCTAGTTAATGCATTGACTAACAATGAGCAATACTTTTGTTACAGTATTTATTAATCTGTGCTAACATTAGGTAATCAAATACAACTGTTCATTGTCAGTTCAGGTCACCTAAAAATTAACAGTTACAACTTTTGATTTTAATAATACCATTAAATTAAAAAATAGTTTTCATTGTAATTTAACATGTTAACTAATGTAGTGATAATAGCAAATGGAACCTTATTGTAAAGTGCTACCAACATTTTTCTATTTAACTTCCCTGTATTGAAATAAAAGACCCACAGCCGATAGTTGACATTGACAATATTTTTGGCCAATTTAAAATCAGGTATCCGAACATTATTGTACATTGGAAAAAAGGTTTGATAACGGTTTAGTGCTTTTGAAATCTGGTACACTAAGTTCACAAATGAATAAATAAGGGTGCAATGTTACATAATGATATCAATATGTTCATACTAATCCCTCTGTCAGACTTCTGTACAATTTAAAATGCCCCTAATATACTTTTTTCGGATATTACCTTTCATGTAGTGTGTAATATAGCTGTTCGTGAATGTGAAAGGTCTGCAAAGTTTCAAATCCAGGAATCCAGAAAGAGCATTTCATCATTTTATTTGAGAAAAACTCAAAGGTCTTTACTACAAGCCATCAATATAAAAGTTTGGATTAACTTGAAGAAATATTGACAGAACTATATTACTGTTGTATAATAGAATGTACTTCCCAAAGTAACAACAATAAAATTTCAACATTACTTAAGGAATTTCGTTTTTTGTCCATGTTTTAAAAGCATTATAAAAGCATATGGATTCACTTGATTACCACTGTTTTTGAAAATATATTTGTATTAAATCATAAAAAGAAAAATAAATTCTTATTTTATAGGACTGTATTATTCTTACATTTTTAAATAAATTATCAATGATACAAATAAGTTGATAATCTAATCCAAAATCAATTACTACATTTAATTGATTAGGCATGTTTTTCATTATTGAAATTTGAATGAACAAAACATACAAATGGTTTCAAGTTTGTTATAATCAAGTATAGAGAGACTGAATCCTTTATTGAACCGTTTCAGATATTGTGAAAAAAGAGGTGATGCTGCAAGTAACTTGGAAGCATGTAAACCTATTGTAGGAGACCTTCCAAACAAAATTAGGAATCTTTAAAACAGCATAATAGAGGCACTTTAATAAAAATACTACAAATTCTTAGTATCAGTATGGTCACCACCACCGCCCATATATCATAGATCTCTTGAGTTCTGTGAATGGCAGCAAACAGGGAGTTGTGTTGATGAGGATACCTGCTGCACAGCTCTCTGTGTGGCTGTGTTTGGAGATTGAGAGTCTCTCAGGAGCTGCAGGACCTGCTGGAGGCCTTGTTCATCCGGCTGCCACTCCATCCTGCACACAAACCACGAAAGACAATTACACATCCTTCATGCCTTCACAAAATACTTCCTCCTGTGAAACGATTGCAACACCAAAACAACTTTTTTGCGGTTTGTAAACTTCTGTAGAGCAATATATCCACAACTACTACCAGCACATTACGTATAATGTTGTTGAGGACAAGGGAAGGCATAGATAAAAATACAATATCAGTATATATATACATACATATATATATATATATATATATATATATATATATATATATATATATATATATATATATATATATATAAAATTAAAGCTAAAGGCCTTTTACACATCCTGCAAGTGTTTCAAACTTGCAAAACTGTGCTTTATCTCTGCATGAGTGATTGAACATGACGCGTTTTAAGACAGGTTAAACCAAAAAATTAATTTAAGTTCATTTAAGTTAATTAGCGATAAAAGATCACAAATCAGATACACAATTATATTAAACAAAATACTGTACAAAACAATAGTTTCCAATGTAATAAAATATCCAGCTATGTTTTGATTTCATCTCAATTTCAGATTTAAAAAAGGTATTTTTGTTTTACAGTCCACATTCACTTCTTTGTGTTTAATATATATATCGATTAAAAAAAATACTTGGCATAAAAAATCCTGGCTTTTATTTTGAAATACATTTTCAAAATGAATGCACTTTATGATTAGCCAAAATAAGGGTTTAAATATATTCGACATGTATAATCTATTCCACATTTAATCTATTAACATTTTAAGGACGAATCTTTTCTCTGTTTTGTGATCTCAGAACTAATGTGTGCGTGTAGTTTATAATAGAAAAAATCGAAATGCATGTAGTATATAAAATAATACTTGAAAACTGCAAAAATATCTGGCTAAAATTGTTAACAAACATCTGACTTGAGACATTTTGAAGAAAAAAGCGTGAAGAATCAGGAAATGCACATGGTCGTCCCTGCATACCGAGGCCTTGTCTTTCTTTCACTCCATGCAAGAGTAGCTCAAAACCCCCAGGCACGACCCACATTAATACGCGATAGAAAAACCCTTATAAGACGACCAATACAAAAACAAAAACATCACGCGAAACCTCAAATAATAAAGCAACAGGTAAAGACTACCTAATCCCAGTTAAGTAGCATTATACACATGATAAGTGTATATCTTTAGTACACGATCTAGCGAGCATACTCGATCTAATCCACGTTACCAACTATTATTGTGTTAAACTCCATATACATTACAGTACATAGACACTATAAACATCAGACTCGAGCGTGTTCACTTACACATGCCGCGTGCGGAGGCCTATTGATCAGCTCGTGCAGCGTGGAGCTCGCGCTCGTCTCGCGCAATGGCACTTTCAAACACTTCCGCAGGACGAGCGCTACAACGAGGAAATGACGAGGTGTTCTCGGTCAACGCAACACTGTAGCCAGTTTCAAATAAACGGAATCTGCCAGGGATTTGGTAGTAAACAAAAATATTTGAAATGGTTGCATTTATGCGGTGTTTGTTTCAGTTTGGAAACGTGCTACTCTGATTATGATTTTTTTTCTAGCAACTAGTACTAGTACTAATACTATTTAGTATTATCTGCAGACTAATGATTTTATATAACCCCTTAATAATTTCTAAGTATTTTTATTATTATTATTTTGTGTCGTGTTTAATTTGTATGTCTACGCACTTAAATAATAATAAATAAAAACTTTTTTGATTATTAAACTTTTCCGAACAACTTTAAGCAGTGCAAAATACACATTAAATATGCAACAAGTGCGCTCATATAATTGAACCATATAAATGAATTCACAAACTCACAAAGGCAAGAAATAAAATAAAAAAACGGATTAAAAAAAGTATCAAATACTTGTTTTATGATTACACATTAAGGACAAATAAAAACATTTACAACTATAACAAGACATACAAAAAGAAAAGGATAAAATACATTTTGCCGAGATCCAGGCTCGTGACGTCATGGGAACATGTCGGCGCCCGGAGAGAAGTAGCCTATACCGATAAACGTTTAAGCTAATAAAATGCATGAGTAAGGCAAGGTTCCAAAAATTATTTACTAAGCGTTTGCAGTTACATGTACAGGAATATAATTAAGATTCTCATATCCGTCTTTAAAAGATCGTCTGAATCATCATGAAGACGTTTTAAGTTTTGTGGGTGGGCACAAAACTTAAAACAATCTTAAACAAAACTTAAAACAATCTGCGCATGCGTCATTTTCTCCGATCTGAAGAAGAGCTGTAGTGCGATTTGTTATGTTTTGACACTGAACGATCTTACATGCTTTCTTGTTTTATTCTTTTACTCTTATTTTACCGTTTCTAACTCGTGTAAACTCGTGTTTAATCCAGGAAGAGCCAAACCCAACCCCTTTAAATGGCCAAAATTGGTTGGCTCCTGCACACATTTGCACTATTGACCTTAATATTTCTTAATTCTGTACTTTATATCCTGGTGCACAAAGACAAGAGTGTTTCATTAGCCTTTTCACCATCAAAAGAATGGCGACATAGTTCAAATATCTCACACAGGAGCGTTCAATCCCAGAAGAACTTCAGTAATAATCTTCACTTATCTGCTGATCCCAGGACTCAGGCTAGTTCTCTTAGAGATCAGTGTAGCATAGCTGTGGAGAGCCGCATCGACTGTGGCCGTGACAGATCTTTGACTCGGGCCAATTGTGAGGGGAGAGGATGCTGCTATGTGCCTCTACCTCAGTCTGGACTAAGAGGACCACCATGGTGTTTCTACCCAGTCCGTTACCCAGGCTACAAAATGGGGCCCTTGTTGACCACAGAGAGGGGCCAAAGGGCCATGCTGACCCGTTCTGTACCCTCATACCTGCCCCGGGACATCCCCACATTGCAGCTAGATGTGATGGCCGAGTCTTTGGGTCGTCTTCACCTCACTGTGAGCACTTCTTTCAGTCTTTTCTATTACAAAAAGTACAATTACATATCAGATATTGTAAGTTTTGGAGGAATTTAATACAGTCACATTTCCTTGAATTCTTGGAAATATAAACTCTTGAATCAGTCATGTCTGAAATGAGCATGGGAAATTATTGATTAAATCTATTACTATTTAATTACATGACTTTTGCCCTGATTTTTAGTCTGGAGTAGTTGACAGTAGCTTTTATTATTATTATCAGGAGTACATATAGCCAAACATGTCAGGGGTATGTAGAAAGAAAAGAAAAAAGAAAATATTGAAAAACATTGTAGGCTATATCTTAAACAATTGCATAGTTCATTTTTAGTAGTTTAGTAGTAGTGTATAATGGCATAGACTCTGATTTTTAGCTTCAAACTACTCCATCCAGTCGCAGATGATCAGAAATATTTGATATTTTGAGACGATTTCACTTATTTTTCAACTTTTTTTCCCCTTATACACCCAGTCATTTAGTGTACGATTCCCGTTTTCTCTGTAACCATTTACAAAATCCGCAAGTGTATGATGCCTAGTGTTTGAAAACCTGTTCAGATTTCAAGTCATGTAGTGTATTCCAGCCTTTAGATGACCTAATCTTACTTTATCTTGCTGACTTCACTTTGCCACAGCTGAAAGATCCAGCATCTCAACGATACGAGGTCCCCTTTGTGACGTCCAAAACCAGGGGCCACAAAGACACACAAAACCCCCTCTATGATGTTGACTTCCAACCAGATCCATTTGGGTTTATTGTACGGCGAAAATCCAATGGCCGTGTTCTGTAAGTGTACTTCCATTTTTGTATTGTATGTTTTCTGCTTATATTGTGCTTCTTCTGTTTCTGTTTCTGGGTGTCAATGACGGTCCACAGATCTATATGGTAAAAAAAAATGTGTTGGGGACAGAACATTGCACAAATGCATTGTGTTTTTCCCCCTAGTTTGAATACTACAATAGGCCCCCTCCTGTTTGCGGATCAGTATCTACAGCTCTCCACCAGCATGGCTTCCTCTGTGATATCTGGACTGGGTGAACATTACACCCCCATCACGCTGGACCTCAACTGGAGCTCTGTTTCATTATGGAACAGAGACATGGCACCACATGTAAGACATTCACATCATTTCACATTCTTCTTTAACTTCCCCTTTTATTCACAGCTGTACTTAATGTTTTATATGGCCCTTTGTAGAGAAGTGCCAACCTGTATGGCTCCCACCCTTTCTTCCTAGTCCAAGAAGGCGATGGACAGGCACATGGAGTCTTTCTTCTCAACAGCAACACAATGGGTACAGCGTTGTGTTGTCTGAATTGGCTTCTTCCAATTTTGGCTTTCACTAAAAGTTTTCAAATTTGCCAATTGTAGAAGTGTTATTGCAGCCCTCTCCGGCATTGACATGGGTGACCGTCGGAGGAATACTGGACTTCTACATCTTCTTAGGCCCCAGTCCTCAGAGTGTGATACAGCAGTACCATGAGGTTATAGGTATTTAACAATTAGACAGTCCACATGCTGTATTAGAATTGTCGTTTACCTACAGTGTAACTTATTGTGTTGTATCTTTGAGGTTATCCTATGATGCCACCCTACTGGTCGCTGGGCTTCCACCTCTGTCGCTGGGGTTATACGTCCACCAACGTCACAAGAACAGTGGTACAGCTCATGCGCCAGGCCAAGATCCCTCTAGTATGTCAATAAAATAAATAATGGCTGTGTTTGGAAGATACTGAACAGTATATACCAGTGCTTCTCAACCGGGGGGCCACAGCATACTTCCAAGTGGACCTCAAGATTACCTGTTAAAATAATTTTATAAGTGTGATTTCTAGACTTGGAAAAGTCATGCAAATTAATACAATCTTAAAATTACATTTATAATGAATATTATGACAGCGGGGGGCCTTGGAGTCAAAAAGGTTTGAGAACTACTGGTATATACTGTGTGCTCGCTGCTATATTTTAAGAAGTACTTTAAACTAATAAAAACTGTTGTATGCTATATTGTTGTCACATGACAATATCATCCAGTTATCGTCTCTAAACATTTTTTTTAATCCAATTTTGTGTAAAATTGTTGTTCATATTGCTTCTGGGTTGTTCGTCATACTAGAAATGGAAGGTTAAGTTTAATACATTGCATTGTGGGATACAGTACCCAGTTTGATATGCTCTGTTAAAGTTAACATATGTGGTTTGAAATTGGTAAAATGTGCTTGGAAAAAATATATAATCAGAATATTGATATAATAATTATTCACACACATTGTATAAATTATAACATAGTATAGTATACTGCACATTGCAGATGTAGTACTGTTGGTCATCCAGATATTCCAGATTATGCAGCATACATACTGTAAAAATGTAAAGTAGTATAGTAGTATGCCATTTTGAAAAGAAGAAGAAAAAAAAATATATATATACTGCATAGAGAGAGAAGCAAGTAACCAAGCCGGTTTTACATGATAATTTAAATAACCTTCAATTGACTTCTGTAGGATGTACAGTGGAATGACCTTGATTATGCGGACCAAAGAAGAGTGTTTACTTTTGATCCACAACGGTTTGGAGATCTGCCCCAGATGGTTGAAGAGATCCATCAGCTGGGCATGAAGTATGTGCTCATTCTGGTACGTGGATAATATTCTGTGATGGAGATTCTTTCATCCTTATTTGAACTTAATAGCGTGATGCTTGTGTGTTAAATATGTGATATCAATATATTTTCTATACTATAGTATATACACTCACCGGCCACTTTATTAGGTACACCTGTCCAACTGCTCGTTAACACTTAATTTCTAAGCAGCCAATCACATGGCGGCAACTCAGTGCATTTAGGCATGTAGACATGGTCAAGACAATCTCCTGCAGTTCAAACCGAGCATCAGTATGGGGAAGAAAGTTGATTTGAGTGACTTTGAACGTGGCATGATTGTTGGTGCCAGAAGGGCTGGTCTGAGTATTTCAGAAACTGCTAATCTACTGGGATTTTCACGCACAACCATCTCTAGGGTTTACAGAGAATGGTCCGAAAAAGAAAAAACATCCAGTGAGCGGCAGTTCTGTGGGCGGAAATGCCTTGTTGATGCCAGAGGTCAGAGGAGAATGGCCAGACTGGTTCGAGCTGATAGAAGGGCAACAGTGACTGAAATAACCACTCGTTACAACCGAGGTATGCAGCAAAGCATTTGTGAAGCCACAACACGCACAACCTTGAGGCGGATGGGCTACAACAGCAGAAGACTCCACCGGGTACCACTCATCTCCACTACAAATAGGAAAAAGAGGCTACAATTTGCAAGAGCTCACCAAAATTGAACAGTTGAAGACTGGAAAAATGTTGCCTGGTCTGATGAGTCTCGATTTCTGTTGAGACATTCAGATGTTAGAGTCAGAATTTGGCGTAAACAGAATGAGAACATGGAACCATCATGCCTTGTTACCACTGTGCAGGCTGGTGGTGGTGGTGTAATGGTGTGGGGGATGTTTTCCTGGCACACTTTAGGCCCCTTAGTGCCAATTGGGCATCGTTTAAATGCCACGGCCTACCTGAGCATTGTTTCTGACCATGTCCATCCCTTTATGGCCACCATGTACCCATCCTCTGATGGCTACTTCCACCATGTCACAAAGCTCTAATCATTTCAAATTGGTTTCTTGAACATGACAATGAGTTCACTGTACTAAAATGGCCTCCACAGTCACCAGATCTCAACCCAATAGAGCATCTTTGGGATGTGGTGGAACGGGAGATTCGCATCATGGATGTGCAGCCGACAAATCTGCGGCAACTGTGTGATGCCATCATGTCAATATGGACCAAACTCCCTGAGGAATGCTTCCAGCACCTTGTTGAATCTATGCCACGAAGAATTGAGGCAGTTCTGAAGGCAAAAGGGGATCCAACCCGTTACTAGCATGGGGTACCTAATAAAGTGGCCGGTGAGTGTATATATAATATATATATATATACACACACACACATTCACTGGCCACTTTATTAGGTACACCTAAGTTGCTAGTACCGGGTTGGACCCCCTTTTGTCTTCAGAACTGCTTTAATGTTTTCTGGGGTAGCTTTAACATTGTGCTGGAAACATTCCTCAGAGATATTGGTCCATATTGACATGATAGCATCACACAGTTGCTGCAGATGTATCGTCTGCTCATCCATGATGCGAATCTCCCATTCTAGCACATCCCAAAGATGCTCTATTGGACTGAGATCTGGTGACTGTGGAGGCCATTGAGTTTAGTGTCATGTTCAGAAAACCAGATTGAGATTATTTGAGCTTTGTGACATGGAGAGTTATCCTGCTGGAAGTAGCCATCAGAGGATGATACACTCGTCATAAAGGGATGGAGATGGTCAGCAACAATACTCAGGTTGGCTGTGGCATTTAAATTATGCTCAATTGGTACTAAAGGCCAAAAGTGTGCCAAGAAAATGTCTAACACACCATTACACCACCAGCAGCCTGAACCACTAATACAAGGATCTGAGAATGGATCCATGGCATGCTTTCATGTTGTTTATGCCAAATTCTTATCCTTCCATCTGAATGTTGCAGCAGAAACCCAGACTCATCAGACCAGGCAACGTTTTTCCAATCTTCTATTGTCCATTTTTGGTGAGTCAGTGTGAATTGTAGCCTCAGTTTCCAGTTCTCAGCTGACAGGAGAGGCACCAGTGTGTGTCTTCTGCTGCTGTATCTGCTTCAAGGTTTGATGTGTTGTGCGTTCAGAGATGCTCTTCTGCAGACCTCTGTTTTCTCTTTTTCGGACCATTCTCTGTAAACCCAAGAGATGGTTGTGCGTGAAAATCCCAGTAGATCATCAGTTTCTGAAATACAAAGACCAGCCCGTCTCGCACCAACAACCAGGCCACATTAAAGTCACTAATATCACCTTTCCTCCCCATTCTGATGCTCAGTATGAACTCCAGCAGATCGTCTTGACCATGTCTACATGCCTAAATAAATGCATTGAGTTGCCACCATGTGATTGGCTGATTAGATATTTGCTTTAACAAGCAGTTGCACCTAATAAAGGTGCCAGTGAGTATACATACATACACCCAAAAAGCACATTAGTCACAGTACACAAATAAGCACATCAGTGTTGAATAGCATGTGGTCTTGTGTTAGGATCCAGGCATCAGCAGTACGAGTCGTCCTGGTTCATACAAACCCTTTGATGATGGGCTGAAGAGGGGAGTGTTCATCACCAACTCCACTGGACAGATCCTAATTGGGAAGGTTAGCGCCACACATGCAATATTACCCTCACTAAAACTTAGTCGTGATAATGTCATATACAAGATGTGTTTTCTTTCTGCACCACTGTATTATTAGTAGTATTATAGTCATGATAGAATATGGTGGGGGGTGGGTATAAAGATTTTGTATGCATTTATATCCAGGTATGGCCAGGTCTAACTGCGTTCCCAGATTTCACCAATCCTACAACACAGGACTGGTGGATGGACTGTATCAGAGCCTTTCACAACAAGGTACCTGTGGATGGACTCTGGATAGTAAGTACTTACAGAGTAAACTATAAATAAACATACACAGGGTATTTAAAAAAGGTGACAAAACATGAATGTATGAATTTAAAGGGGCCACACTCTTTACCTACATTGTATTTGTTTTCCTTTAAATCCTGAATTATGTTATGAAAATGCTAAGCAAAAAATAATTTCATGTCATTTTTATATCATCTGGACTTAAATAAAACATATACAGAAGAATTTTTTTTAAATTTTATATATTTTGGATTTTATGAGTTGTGTCTCCTGAGTCACGTTGCCTGATTAGGGTATAAAAAAAGGACCAAGTCATTAATCTGTTAACTGTTACTGCCACTGCATGTTTAAAACAATTATATCCCATTCTTTACCTGATCTAATGTTGACAAATGAGATATCATTCGAAAGCTTACGAACTCAAGATTCAGCCTGTGAAACCCGTTTTGAAATTGGACGTTGCCTTACCATAGAAACGGTACTCTAAATTCTTTTATCGGGCTCCTCTATGGAGCTAATAATATGACAAAATGATTTGAATTTGAATTGTGTAAATTTGAATTATTTGCAAGTGTAATCTAACAAAACTGAATTTTAAATAGTTTTGAATTTGAATTTTTGTGGAACGAATATTGAACATCTGAAATTTAACAAACTGAAAGGTTTTATGGCTGAATTTTATAGACATGTATTTTCAAACAGCTAGTTTTTGTGTTCTGAATTCAAATACTGCAAATATTCAGTTTAAAAAAATACGGATTCAAGTTTTCAAGATGAAGAAATTCAGAACGTCAAATTCAGTTTTCTAAAATTCAATGTCAAAAATTCAGGTCTTACAGAAAGTAGGTCACAGGGAAGAGTAGATGATCTCGGAAAAGTCGAACAGAGCATTTTGGCCAATTAGGGACTGCAGAAGTTTTCCAGCGCGAACGTGGTGGTTCAAGAGGTTGCCGCTCTCTGACGCCGATCATGAATCGCCCGGAGGTAAGTTAAACATGAATGATTTTGTGTGTATATGTTAGGTTAGCGTTCTCAGCACATTTGTCTAATGCCGAGTTCAGACTGCACGATTTTCAAAATAATCGGGTCAATGTTGTTTTCACACTGCATGACTATCTGGGGTAACATTCTGTTGCTGCCGTGTTCACACTGCACGATGGCTCGGCGACAGGAGGTTTCACACTGCATGACTTTACAAAAGAAAGAATCGCCGACAACTTCTGCCTGGTCCACAAACTACGCTTCACAACCAAACACACGCGAGAAGTGATCGGAAATAACGGAAGATCACGCGTGCGTGAGACCGGAGTTCTCGCGCGACACCGAATTTGTTATTAAAAATGATAGCCTACAAGAAGATTGCGATCCAAATTGTGCACTGATTTGTAGCGGGAAAAAAACAAAAACAGTTTATGCAGGACATGGTTGGGAAGACGAGGGGAGCAAGGACTGTGTTTTGCAAAGAGAGTTGGGGGTAAATAAATAATTTTGCAAATGTCCTGCTGTTGCTGCTGGTCACGCAAATGTTTGTGCTTTGTTTCTGTTTGATATAATTATAAATATAAGCCTATCTATTAAAATACTGATATTCTGGTCTATAACTCCTCCTCCTCCTCCCTGTATCTTGCTCTCTCATTGGCTGTCGGTCATCGCCGATGTAGTTTTCAGTCAGAACACATTCACACAGCAGGATTGTGAATCGCCGACAGGTCCAGATATTTAGCATGCCACATATCTTACGGGCGTCGGCGATTCTCTCAGATCGCGTCTTTGCTCATTCACACTGCGTGATTGTCACTCGCGTGAACGAGCACCGATTTGCCTGTGATTTCGGGCATTTGTCGGCGATTTCTCAAAACCTGTCGGCAAACCAAAATCGGGGCTAAAATCGTGCAGTCTGAACTCGGCATAAGCGGTCTCTGGTGTTTGTTTTAAAGTATATTTTGTGTAAAATTTTGTGTAAAATTGATTAGAACGCCACCGTGTCTACTACACAGACAGGACGCAAGCGGCGCGAGCAAAACAAAAATGTATTAGTGCAACTTTCCTTAAGTAAAATCACCAAAAGCCTCCAACCAAACTGAGATGACCTACATAAATAATGCCTACATAATGCAATTGTCCTTTCAATATTAAAGTCTTCTCTACTGACTGATGACTCACTCAGTAATAAAGACTGTCTTTGCCGCCATCTAACATTACAGGCGAAATATTTTAACTTATGCTGCTGCTCACGGCCAGGGACTATTTTTTTTTTCAGCGGAAGGTTGAAGGCTTTTGGTGATTTTACTTAATGAAAGTTGCACTAATATATTTTTGTTTTGCTTTATTATGATTATTGAGTGGCAATCGCTTTAGAAAAGCAATACACGGTACTCAAGGCTAGTGCTGTCTTGTGAATAAGTCACGTCTGAAGGGGTTGCACTTGCAAGCACTCTGGTTCGCGTCGTATTCACGATACAGCACCATAGCACACCCTCTCGTACCTTATGCTTACATGTACGACGCAATCTAGACCGGACGCGAGCGGTGCGACGCGACCAGTGAAATCCCCAACAGCACACGATTACCCATCCTATTTCTGACCTAGTCCCAGCTCTTTACAACAGTCGCTTCAAGCACTGTGTTGCGCCGCTCGCGTCCTGTCTGTGTAAGTTAGTAGACACGGTGGCGTTCTAATCAATTTTACACAAAATATACTTCAAAACAAACACCAGAGACCGCTTAGACAAATGTATCACGTGCTGAGAACGCTAACCTAACATATAAACACAAAATCATTCATGTTTAACTTACCTCCGGGCGATTCATGATCGGCGTCAGAGAGCGGCAACCTCTTGAACCACCACGTTTGCACTGGAAAACTTCTGCAGTCCCTAATTGGCCAAAATGCTCTGTTCGACTTTTCCGAGATCATCTACTCTTCCCTGTGACCTACTTTCTGTAAGACCTGAATTTTTGACATTGAATTTTTGACATTGAATTTTTGACATTGAATTTTAGAAAACTGAATTTGACGTTCCGAATTTCTTCATCTTGAAAACTTGAATCCGTATTTTTTTAAACTGAATATTTGCAGTATTTGAATTCAGAACACAAAAACTAGCTGTTTGAAAATACATGTCTATAAAATTCAGCCATAAAAACCTTTCAGTTTGTTAAATTTCAGATGTTCAATATTCGTTCCAAAAAAATTCAAATTCAGAACTATTTAAAATTCAGTTTTGTTAGATTACACTTGCAAATAATTCAAATTTACACAATTCAAATTCAAATCATTTTGTCATATTATTAGCTCCATACTCCTCCCCTTTTGGGCATCGTCATGTTTCATAATTTATGATCAAAACCTTTTCTAATCTTGACAAAACACATATTGTCAGAAAGGTCTGAGTCTCAAGGTTTCATATTTTGTGACGGAAGTGATATTTGGACAGAAATTTATTAATTTGTCATGGCAGAATGCATACAATTAAATTCAATGGAATGTAAGTCACCCGGTGGCTATTTTTGGTATTATGCCTAAACAAAATCTCATGGGAACTTCAATTTTTGTGATATCAACTTTAAATTTGGAACACAACTTGGTTAGATATATGGCTTTGATTTTATAGTAATTTTATAATAAAAAATATTTTGTAAATTACATATTATACATATACATAAAAATATTAAGTACAGTATATTTGATTTACTGTAAGTTTAAACTTCCATAACTTTTTCATACTTTCATTTTTTGGAGTACTTTCACTTCAGCAATAATCTGCTGACTGTTTTATTTATAACAAGACCAAACTTATTCTTGAATTACAATCATTTAAGTTTGAATAGTGCATTTTAAATAGAGCTAGTTTAATCCCTTTTTTATACCCTAAACAGGCAACGTGACTCAGGAGTCACATACATTTCAAAATGTGCTGCTAAATAACAACATGAACAACATATTACTTAATTTTCTCCTTCAGCACCTTAAGACAATGTTCACAATTAATGTTAGCAGTATTCTTCTTTTTTTTTTCAGAAGAAAAGTAAGTTTAATATATATTTACTTATCTTAAAATCTGAATGTTCTGCACCACTGGCAGCCATATTGGATTTAGGTCAGGCTGACTAATTGATCCCAAAATCTTTGAACCAAATCATGTGACCAGCAGCATACTCAACACATATATAACTTAAGGCCGGTTCACACCAAGAAGGATAACTATAAAGATAAATACAACAACATTAGCGTCCACATGAACGAACAATATCGTTCTGTTTATTCTAAGCGCGCACTGCGGTTTTGTCGTCTGCTCGAGCTCTTTAAAGCAGAAAGGATTTTAATTGGCAGTTAATGTTTGTCAAAGTTTTTATCGTTTGAAATCGCTCTAAAAGTGATTCCAACAATATTTTTTCTCTGTGCCGTTATCGTTATAGTGGTGATGTGAACTCTACTATTCTCTCTACTATTCTCTCTACTACTCTACTATAATATTATAATTTAATATTTAGAACGATTTTTTATCGTTATCTTTATAGTTATCGTTCTTGGTGTGATCGGGCCTACTAACTTCTAAATTTCTTTTGAAATTCTGCTCACAGGACATGAATGAGCCGTCAAATTTTGTCCAGGGATCTGTGGATGGATGTCCTGACTCTGACTTGGAGAAACCTCCTTATACTCCAGGTAAGAACAGTAAAGTCTTAATATACTCTCTTGTAAAATGACTGTCACTGTTTTTATGTGACCTGCATGAAGAGATCTGTCTGGGTTTACAGGTGTAATAGGAGGTCAGTTAAACTCAGGAACTGTGTGTATGTCTGCTCAGCAGTATCTGTCTAATCATTACAATCTGCACAATCTCTACGGTCTGACCGAGGCCATCGCCACCCACAGGTCAGAGAAATGCCTCTTCCATTCATACAAACAGTAAAAAAAAAGTTAATTGGTGAACAGATCCATTTGATATGGTTTGACATTATTACCAACTTTCCACTCATTTGTATTTCAGGGCATTGTTCAAAGTAAAGGGCACTCGTCCTTTTGTCCTATCCCGGTCGTCTTTTCCAGGACTGGGCCGTTTCTCTGCACACTGGACAGGAGATGTGCAGAGTGACTGGGAGCAAATGCGCTTTTCAATACCTGGTGAGAGAGAAAGATCATAAACATATGCTAATATATAGTTACAAAGGCTTAGTCCTGGCCCTGCAAGTGCTCGCCAACATCCACATATGCTAACACACATCCACGTTTAGAGATGTTCTAACATTCACAATGCAGGCTCCCTCACCTGGCCACCTAGATATGGAAATGTTTTGGAACATAAGCTGAGAAGTGACATGTACATGTCTTGTCTTAATTTTTTGTTCCTAATACTTGAAAAGCATGATTTGTCCCCGCTGTTGGTTTATTGCTGTGTTTGTTTGTGTGTGTGTGTACCAGCTGTGCTCCTGTTTGGACTCTATGGCGTTCCCTTTGTGGGGGCTGATGTATGTGGATTTGGTGGAGACACTACTGAAGAACTGTGTGTGCGCTGGACACAACTCGGAGCCTTTTACCCTTTCATGAGAAACCATAACGACAAACCCAATGCTGTGAGATATCGGTCAACAATTTACAGTCATCTAGAAGAAAAAAATCATAGATTAATATACTAATGATCAAAGGTTTGGAAACAATTAACTGGAATTTAGATCATGTGACACAGAAGACTGGAGTAATAGCTGCTGAAAATTCAGCTTTTCCATCACAGGAATAATTTTACATTCTAAAATATATTACAACAGAAACCAGTTATTTTAAATTGTAATAATATTTCACTCTAAACTATACCTGTTCTCCATGCAGCATATATTCTCTGGCTCTGTAGGCCTCATTGTCCGACTCCGGTTCGAACATATAAGGCTAAACACCGCCACTGACAATTTCTGACATTTTCAGTGTGTGAGATTGTCCTGTTTTGTTGTAGCATGAGCTCTTAAAGCCGCTCATTTGCATTTAAAGGGACACACACAAAAACGGCGCATTTTTGCTTACCCCCAAAAAGTGTCAATTTTAACGTGTTATAAAAAATGATCTGTTGAGTATTTTGAGCTAAAACTTCACATACACATTCTGGGGACATCAGAGACTTGTTTTACATCTTGTAAAAAGGGGCATAATAGGACCCCTTTAATGTTTACAAACTTTTGACCTGTACTGCATATATATATATATATATATATATATATATATATATATATATATATATATAAATAAAAATGTAAACATTTCAATCATTTTACATTATTAGTAATATATGATTATTTCTTCTCATATTTCATACTCTCAGCCCCAAGAGCCATATGTATTTAGCCAGCAAGCCCAAGATGCCATGAGGACTGTGACTACACTGCGATACTCTCTCCTGCCCTTCCTCTACACACTGTTCCATCATGCGCACATCTCCGCCAGCACCGTGGCACGCTCCCTCTTCCTTGAGTACATACACACGCTCATTCTAGCTCAATATCTCAGCGGTGACCTCGTCTCTGAGATTACTCATTTCTTTTAGGTTCCCCACTGATCCAAATTGCCAGACCATTGACAGGCAGTTCCTGTGGGGGAGTTCACTGCTTATCAGTCCCGTCCTGGAACAGGGAGCAGTGGAGGTGACGGCTTATCTCCCGCCGGGGACTTGGTACAGTCTGCACAATGTAAGCCTTCGTCCTATACTATATACATTCACTACCAGTCAAAAGTTTGGATTTTTTTTAATGTTTTAATATTTTTGAAAGAAGTCTCTAATGTTCACCAAGACTGCATTTATTTGATCAAAAAACAGTAAAAATAGAAATATTGTGAAATGTTATTAAAAAATTTAAAAGAACAGTTTACTATTATTTATATATTTTTTACATTTTAATTATTCCTGTGATGTAAGAAATGTTTCTTGATCATCAAACCATCAAATTAGAATGATTTCTGAAAGAAACTGTAACCAATTACCATATAATTAAATGGGTTTTTTTTTACCTTCGAAGTAAACACCTTCTTTTTTACCCCTTTTTTGCATAGCCTCTTTCACATTGTGATATGTTTACAAAGTTATGATGGTAAAATGTAATATGATATGAAGCCTTTAAGGTAAATGAGACTGAATCCTCTGTGTTTTCTTATAGGGGCAAGCATATCACAGTAAAGGGCAATACATTTTGTTTCCTGCCGCTTTGGACACCATTAACATTCAAGTGAGAGAGGGGAGCATCATCCCGCAGCAGGTGGTGTACTGTAAAGACTAGATCTAGCAGCAATCATAATATCTCCTTTATGCTGTGTAGCAAGTGAACTTTTGCTATTTCTTCTTCGTTTCCCAGGTTCCCGGATTGACGACTACAGCATCTCGCAGAAACCCTTTCACTCTGATCGTGGCACTGTCTGCAGAAAATTGGGCCAAAGGGGATCTTTTCTGGGATGATGAGGAAAGTCTGGACACTTTTGAGAGGGGAGATTACTCATATGTTCTCTTTTTTGCCAAAGAGGTACAAAATAGCGTGAATTTTGCTTGCATGTTGAATTGATTGGTTTGGATGAGGATTTTTCTATTGAACATCTGTTTCCCATTGCTATTCTGTGTTGGAGCAGTCCAAAATGAATTGCTTCAGCAGGCAGTAAAATAAAACAAAAAACATCAAGTGCTGTTATTGCTATGAACAGATTGTATACTCTATGTGCAATTTATAAAAATGAAGAAAACTAGAACACCTGTTGGATTTCAACATACAATTATAGTAGAAAACTCAAAAAATATGGTCGATATGTGCATTAATTTGAAATGTAATCTATTTATTTGATATTTTATTCCCCTGTAGTCTTATGTGGTCAGTAAGCCAGTCAAATTAAACAGATCTCTCGATCATTTGGTCCTCGGGGAAGTAAGTGTTTTCGGAGTTCAGACTCGACCTACAGCAGTGTGGGCCAACGGGCAAAAGGTTCATGACTTCTCGTACAGCACAGACACCAAGGTATGCATCAAGTTCTGAGGTGGAGATTTGTGTTTGTCTACCTGGTTTACTTCTACTCCACTTAGTATGTACAAAATTTAATCATGGTGATTAATGTGCATTTCATATTTAATTTTAATGGACCTTTTTCACAGACTTTGATGATGTGATTCCGCAGTTATCAACATCACAAATCTAGTAAAGTTGTTCATATTACTTGAGTTATATTACCATGGCAGTAAATAGCAAAAAAACTAATTAAAGGGGATATATGTGTATGTATTAATCACTTTTTTATTGCCAATGTGTGACCAGCTTGTTAACAAAACACAAAAAACTTTCCCCGGCTTCCTAGGTTGTTAATGAAATCCTGTAGACTGATTTTTATGTAAAGGATGTTTTTGGCGGGAAAATCAAAAGGATATGAGGTTTACGCGCACACCCGAGAGCATTTCTTCCATTCAAAAAATCCCTAGATCCATTCTTTCTGTAATGTCAATGTGTCAGGCAAAGAAAAGGAATTATTTCTAACCATAGTCTCAAATAGGCAATACTGTGGAGTGCAGTAAGTGAGGAGACAAGAGACGGGGCAGGGGTCGAGGTTGCCGCAGGTGGGCGCCCTCGCCGTGGGGGCAGGGCCAGCTGAAGCGGTTCGCCAATATCCACATGAGCAGGCTTGAGACGGTCAATAGCCACCCGCTCAGGCCTGCCCCCCATATCCACCACAAAGTTCTTAGGAAGAAAAGAAACTCCCCCGGAACACGCAGAGGCTGGCCATACACCAGCTCGGCCGATGAGGCTTGAAGATCTTCCTTAGGGGCGGAGCGAATGCCAAGCATAACCCATGGGAGGCGGTCAGCCCAGTCGCTGCCCGTAAGGCTGGCCCTGAGCGCGGCCTTCATGTCACGATGAAACCGCTCGCACAATCCGTTGCTCTGTGGGTTATAGGCTGTGGTACGGTGGACCTTCACCCCAAGGGCCTCGGCGACCGCAGACCAAAGCTCCGATGTGAACTGCGGACCCCGGTCCGAGGAGAGGTCGGACGGTGTGCCAAAACGGGCCACCCAAGCCATAATGAACGCCCGGGCCACTTCCGCTGATGTAGTGGAGGACAGGGGAACTACTTCTGGCCACCTGGTGGTCCTGTCCACCATGGTGAGGAGGTAGGTGTAACCACGGGAGGAGGGAAGTGGGCCCACCAGGTCCACATTCACATGATCAAAACGTCTCTCTGGCACTTTGAAGGGTGCCAAAGGAGCCTTGGTATGACGAGTCACCTTTGCGCGCTGGCACGCCACATAGGCCGCAGCCCAGGCCCTGATGTCCCTCCGCAGTCCCGGCCAGACGAACTTGGCCCCCACCAGCTTGGTAGAGGCCTTCACCCCCGGGTGGGAAAGACCATGGATGGCATTAAAAACTTTATGCCTCCAGCCAGCAGGTACCATGGGGCGAGGTTGGCCAGTGGAGACGTCGCAGAGGAGTGTAGCGTTGGCCGTGTCAAACATCACATCTTCCATGAGCAGCGCCGTGGGGGCCGTCCTGTAGGCTTGCACCTCAGAGTCCGCCATTTGATCCGCAGCCATAGCCGCATAGTCGAGGCCCAAGTGGACGGAACCAGCGACCGCCCGGGAGAGGCAGTCGGCGACGAAATTGTCCTTGCCAGCCACGTGCTGAATGTCAGTGGTAAACTCGGAGATGGCCGAGAGCTGACGCTGCTGTCGACCAGACCACGGCTCCGTAGACTTGGCCATAGCAAACGTCAGCGGCTTGTGGTCAACGAAAGCCGTGAACCGCCGACCCTCCAACAGGAAACGGAAATGACGGGTGGCAAGGAAAAGACCCAGGAGCTCCCTGTCGAAGGCGCTGTACTTCCTCTCATTGTCCCGGAGCTTCCTGCTGAAAAAGGCCAGCGGCTGCCAGGCTCCGCTTACCCACTGCTCACACACAGCCCCCACGGCGTAATCAGAGGTGTCCGTAGTAAGAGCAACTGGGGCGGTCGGAGACGGGTGCGCCAGCAGAGCAGCGTTGGCCAGCGCAGTTTTGGCAGCATCAAACGCATCAGCCATCTCTGGGGACCAAGCCAACACGTCCGCCGGTCTCCTACCCCGCAAAGCGTAGTACAATGGACGCATGAGCTGGGCCGCACGGGGGAGGAAACGGTTGTAGAAGTTCACCATGCCCAGGAAATCCTGCAGGGACTTCACAGTGCGTGGGCGTGGAAAACTGGCGACGGCCTCCACCTTGGCAGGGAGGGGAACTGCCCCCTGTGGGGTGACGTGGTGGCCGAGGAAAGTGATGGATGACCGGCCAAACTCGCACTTGGCCGGGTTGATGATGAGGCCATGCTCACTGAGCCGGCCGAACAACTGCCGGAGATGCGTCCGGTGGTCGTCTGCAGACGCGCTGGCCACGAGAATGTCGTCCAAGTAAACAAACATGAACGGCATATCTCGCAGCACCGAGTCCATGAGACGCTGAAACGTCTGCGCTGCCCCCTTGAGGCCGAAAGGCATCCGTAGGAATTCGAAAAGGCCAAAGGGTGTGATGACTGCTGTTTTGGGGACATCCTGCGGGTGGACAGGCACCTGGTGGTAACCGCGCACCAGGTCCACCTTTGAGAAAATGGTGGCACCGGCTAGGTGGGCGGAAAAGTCCTGGATGTGCGGGACTGGGTACCGGTCGGGTGTGGTGGCGTCGTTCAGGCGACGGAAATCTCCACAGGGACGCCATCCGCCATCAGCCTTGGTCACCATGTGCAGGGGGGACGCCCACGGGCTGTTGGAGCGGCGCACGATGCCGAGGTGCTCCATGGTGGCGAACTCCTCCCTGGCGATAGCGAGCTTGGCAGAGTCAAGGCGCCGGGCTCGTGTGTAGACTGGGGGGCCCACCGTGGTGATGTAGTGCTCCACGCCATGCTTAGCCACCGCCGATGAAAACGTGGGTGTGGTGATGTCAGGGAACTCAGCAAGTAGGCGTTGATACAGGTCCCCGTTGGCCAGCGTGTTCGACAGACAAAGCGCCCCTGTCCCTCCCAGCGTGCAGGGGTACGAAGCAAAAGAGAGGGCGTCGATCAGGCGGCAGTTTGTAACATCCACCAACAGTCTATAAGCGCAGAGAAAATCCGCCCCCAGGAGCGACGTAGACACAGCAGCCATGACGAAGTCCCAGCCGAAACGCCGTCCGCCGAAACACACTTCCACATGCCTCGTGCCATAGGTACGGATGGGTGTGCCGTTAGCGGCGTCCATCGGGGGGCCGTGCCCGCCAGCCATGGTGTCCACAGGCTGCGCCGGCAGGATGCTGCGCTGAGCCCCAGAATCGACCAGCAGCCGCCGGCCGGAGAAGGTGTCAGTGATGAATAACAGCTTGCAGTCACGGCCAGCGCCCATAGCTGCTAATGAGCGCCGGCCCTGGCTTTTCCCTGGGCTCCGAAACTGCAAGGCTGACGACACTGCTTGGCTTTTGCCCCAAACCTGGAATGGTAATAACACCACCCGTCCTCACGCTGTCGGCGGGCCGTCACAGCAGCTGCAGTGTCTGGGTCGTCCTCCGAGGGTGGAACAGACGTGCGCTGGGTGGGCAGCAGTGCATGGACAAACTGCTGTCGGTTGGCGAGGAATATCCTGTCTGCCTCCACAGCCAGTGCTCGGTAGTCTCTGGAGGAAGGGAGGGGGGAACTAGCCAGTGCGGTGCGCACGGGTGCTGGAAGCTGCCGCAGGAATATGTGGGCGAAAAGGAACGAGGGATCCGCCGCGCCCAGCACCGCCAGCATCCTCTCCATTAACTCGGACGGCTTGCTGTCGCCAAGGCCGTTCAGGGACAGCAGGCGGTCTGCCTTCTCCAGTTCTGACAGTTCAAAGAGGCTCAACAGGAACGTTTTAAGTGCGTCGTACTTGCCGTCAGCTGGAGGAGCCTCTAACAGCGCCATAGCCCTGGCCGTCGTCGAGGCATCTAAGGCCGCTACCACGTGGAAATACTTTGCAACGTCCTGTGTTATTCCTCTCAGCTGGAACTGTGCCTCGATGTGCTGAAACCACGGCCGTGGATTGTGCTGCCAAAAGTCCGGTAACTTGATGGTGGCTGCGTAGATAGCGCCGACATTAGCCGCGCCGCTAGCAGCGGCCGGCGCCGCGGCCGCAGCGTTTTCACCACCGTCGTTGTGTGACATAATTCAGCCGTGTTCAACTCGCGTCAGGGGTCACCAATGTGGAGTGCAGTAAGTGAGGAGACAAGAGACGGAGATGCGTCGAGTCAACTTTACTATCCACTTCAATATTTCTATCACAAGTCAGCGAGTGATATCCAAACATAAACACAACGTCAAAAACCGGAACTCGTCATCGTCTAACCCCCCCTTCCTTAAAGGTACAGCCCCTTGGTGAATGTCTCTTTCAGACTTCCTTGTGGGTCACTACAATACTTTATAATCATAACTAAAAACTATCATAACAGTGTCATTTTAATTACCTCATCATCGGTCGACATGATGCTGGTGAATCGCAGAGCTTGTGCAAACATATACACATCGCTATGATAAGATGCTTTCTAACCTCTACTTTCACGCCGCTGTCTTTTTTGTTGTGTGTTTATTTTGTTATTGAGAGCAAAGCTTGCAACACACATTTACATATTAATCTAAACATCGCTCTCAGCAGCGTGGACTAGGTCTGGATGTTCGTTACCAGTTTATTGATGCAAAGGTATTTCATAAAACTTCTTTTTTACTTCTAAACAAAGAACGAAAGTATATCGGGCCATTTTATCGCGTTTCGGTCTCTTGTACGTTACGTGTGTGGCTGCAGTTCACTTAACGGCCACCGGTGTTGCTAATGACTTGGGTTTCTGAATTCTACATAGTTTCTAATACAACGACTGAGAGAGGGGTGGCACATTTCCCATCATTCTCTCTTCTGACGGCTGTAATCAGTCTCTTTTTTGGAATGTTGTGGAAACACTATCATGGATTTTTTTTTTGGGGGGGGGGGGGGGGTTTGGAACAAATGGAAATACAAACAGTACTGTTGTCTCCCATTTAATTACCACTAAGTTTACCCAACTTTGACCACTTCTGCTTCTGAGAACCTCTGGAATGTGAAAAAGGTCCATACGAGTCATTAAAATGTTTTGATAATAAAATGCTTTCATAAAGTGTTTTTTGTGTGTGTGTGTGTGTGTGTGTGTGTGTCGCAGGTTCTTACAGTGCCTGGACTGGACTTACCCATGACAGCCATGTTCACCGTACAGTGGACCTGATGAGAAATCTCTGCTGTGTAAATGTTCTGTGCTTTGGATTTGTGTAATGTGAATTGCTTTGGTCTTCCAAATGCATAAATGTAATAATGATCAGCATGTCATTATTTTTTTAAATAAATGTTTATTAAATGTTCTTAAAGGGGTCATATAATGGTACATGCACTTTTACAAGTTGATTGTACTGAAATGTGTGTTGGCAGTGCCTGTACACAACCATCATAAAATGATAAAAATCCATCCAGTGTTTTTGTTTTAATCTCCTTATATGTTTTCCCCTGCCTCAAATCAAGCCGTTCGACCGTGTGACGTCACAAGCTCAGAAGCCCCTCCCACGATTGTTGATTGACAGGAGTGTTTCAACACAGACCCGGCCTCGCTCGTGAGAGCTGTCAATCATAGTCTGCGCGGACCGGCGCGGTCATTGTTGATATGCTGGAGCACTGTCTATGAGCAGAATGGCGTCTAAGCGATTGTGGTGTTCTGTTCTTGGGTGTAATAACGAACACAGCAGTCATTTTAATGTTCCTAAATCCGAACCGCTGAAGATGCAGTGGCTGTGTTTGTTTTCGAAGGGAATATTCCCCACGAGCAACATCGCTCTCATGTTTGCGCGAATCATTTCTCACCAGACTGCTTTATAAACGAGGATCAGTATAAAGCTGGATTTGCTAAGAAGCTGCTCATGAAAAAAGGATCGGTACCAGATATTCGTGTTCCTGCTGAATCTCCAGAAGAACGGAAGTGAGTGTAACGTTTTATTAAACTTTATATTAATCTTTGCAAATCGCTAGCTACACGCTTCACAATGAATGCGTCTAAGGTTTACACTCAGGGTCCATTACGGCATGTTTTCTATGTATGACGTTCTCAATATAATTCATAATCCCACGTTTATACTGAACAACGCGTTATGGTTATTGTGTTATTGAGTTACAAATGGTGTACGCACAGAACAGAGATGCAGGGTGAGCAAAGCTCATCATCATTTAAAGGCATATGCACTGAAACGGCGTGCTGAAAACAGAGCTGTTTTTGACCAGGTAAAATAAGTGTTTTCTTACAATACTAATGAGAATTTTTAATTAAAGTATATTACAAACTTTTAATTTAGACCCTAAAGAATCATATTAGCTTGTACAAAAATGGCATTATATGACCCCTTTAATGCTTTTATTGTTGTGTGACAGTGATAGGTATAATCAGAATAATACTAATTTCCCTTGACTCTAGAATAATAATTGTACCTGTTTATTTTAAATGTCAGAGAAATAATCAAATAAATAATTGTTATTGTTGTTGGTGTTTATTATTATTATAAATGTTGTTAAGATTATACAAATAGCTAAATACATATGCATATGGTTATTGGATAAAATATTTCTCATTGAAGCTTAGGTTAAATGTAATTATATTATAAAATAATATATGATATTATAAAAATAAAAATTAGGCTAAGGGATTTGACACTGCAATTAAATGTTTTCTATTCTTACAATTTGGCAATATTTAATTAAGTTCCTTTTTTTTTTTTTTTTTTTATGATCCATGTGGTTATTTTTTTGACACTTTCATAAATGCTTCATCCAAAGAAACATGTGTTTAGTTGTGTTTTCTGTGCTCATTATAACTGCAGGACCAGTGTCCTGCCCCTGCCGCGCCGTTGCGTTCAGAGGAAGCGCAGTGTTGTTCCGGAAGCAACGGAATGTCAGTGGGCAGGGCTTCAGTCTGTCGTCAACGAAGGCGTGCGGAGTGAAGAGTGTCACCGACAAACATACGCGTCATTCAGTGTAGCCTGGATCTTTAATGCATGAGCCACTTCTGATATGGACGTGTAGCGACGGTTGTAATCGTTTCTGGTACTGAAGGTAAGACTGCAGCGTGTATGATTTTCGATTACAAATTCATCCTTACGGCTGTCATTGTTGGAAGTAGTTTAGTTAGCGTCCCATATGGGGTACAGCAGTGCATATGTGTCTATTATAGCAGATATAACGGGACCCCATCGCGACTTCCATGTGAAATGAGCCCTCATATGTGATATGTGATCCTGAGTGGGACAAAATGGCTTGTCCATTAAAATACAATATTGATACTGGTCAATCAACCTGCTGATACAGGCCTGAACACGGTCAATGTGAACACATGTCTGTTCTTATTATGTGTCTGATGTAGTTTTGTTTGATATCTCTTGATGTATTAGCTATTTATCTACTGTAGTGGTTTTTTTTTTTTTTTTTTTAAGACTTGTAACTTTGTACTTTGACATTGGAATTATGCCTTTGCCCCAATAAATTATATTATGACATTTAAAGGCACTTCTTAAGGAAATTAAATTCTGTCATTTACTCACCTGCATGTTATTCCAAACCCATGTAGTTGTATTTTATTCTGTAGAGCGCGAAAAGAGGTCCAACTTTATATTAGTTGCCTTTAACGATTATGTATTTGCATAAAAAAATTAAGCTATAATTGTTAAATACAATGTGCTTGTATTGCAAAACACTTTTGCTGCTATTTAGGTGGGATACAGCAGGTAAGGCTAAAGGGACAAGTTTGGTGGTAAGGTTAGGTTTAAGGGTTGGTTAAGGGAAGGGTCAACATTGTGATTACAGATGTATTTACACAAAATAATTACAGCTGTAATTACATGTATAGGTATAATGTAAATGTATTTAAAATGTACATGAATCTGCACAGTAAGTGCATTGTATCAAATTATTAATTTAAATGATGCATAGTAGTCAAAGACACTTAATATAAAGTGGCTCCCAAAAAGGAGATGTTTTCAAGAATGTTCATATAGCAAAAGCATATAGGATCAGGGTCTGTCAAGCTCTAAAAAAAAAGGACTAAAATGCACCATAAAAATAGCCTTGTGAAGGAACAGACAAATTCTTTTTGTTTTTCACTAAAAAACTAATACACCTCATTGCACTTGTGCATGACAGTCAAATTACAAGCAAGGGGTTAATTTGGCAGCTTTTTAGCACCTTCAGTTCAAGAAAGAAAAATATTGTTTGAAAAAATGTGTTTGGCTTTAAGGTTTTGTCCTATTATCTCCATTTTGTTAACAAACGTTATTCTGCTTAGTCAGTGATGGAACCGATAAAGGTAACGTCCATCTGATATCATCATTTTGTGAAATTATGAAATAAAAAGCAACCAAATCTGCTGCCATATCCACGGAAGCTTGTTTCCATCACGGAATAACCACAACAACAAAAGTTATTGCGACTTTTTATCTTACAATTCAGATTTTTTTTTCTCACAATTGTGAAATATAAACTCAAAATTGCAAGGAGGTAACTTGCAATTGCGATGTGTTACCTGAGACAAAAAGTCCAAATTGTGAGATATAAGCTCACGATTGCGGAAAAAAACAAGCCAGAATTGTGAAATAAAGTTTCAATTGCCATTTTAATTTTAAAAACAAAAAAATCTAAATTGCGAGATGTAAACTGGCAATTATGAGTTCATAACTTCCAGTTGCAAGAAATAAACTCACAATTGTGAGAAAAAAAGTCAGAATTGTGAGATAAAAAGTCGTAATTACCTTTTTTAATTTTTTTATTTCTGTGGCGAAACCAAAAAAACATCTGAATTACAAAATGTAAACTCACAATTCCGAGAAAAAAGTCAGAATTGCGGGATGTAAACTGGCAATAACGAGTTTAGAACTTGCAGTTGCGAGATATAAACTGCTTATATATAAACTGAATATAGAATTTCAAGGTGTTAACTCGCAATAGCGAGATGTTAACTGAGACCAAACGTCCAAATTGTGAGAAAACAAGTCAAAATGCTGAGATAAAAGTCGTAATTGCCTTATAATTTATTTTTTTTGTGTGATGGAAATAAAAAATCAGAATTGCAAATCAGAAATGTAAACTCGCAATTCCGAGAAAAAAGTCAGAATTGTGAGGAGAAAAAATTTGTAAGCAGAAAAAGTTTCCATAATTTCTGATATGCATCAGCTGATTTATTAAAAATAGCTTGTGCTCAATAAGTGTTATATCATATCTTGCCTAGTGCGGGAGGGAATTTCTCTTTTTAGGTGAGCTATGATTTAGGAATATTATTGTGCATTTGGTCTGATTTGAAAGCAAGACACCAAATGAACTTCTGTGTTGATTTTGAAGTGCATTCCTGGTGACTCTGTTGTATGGAGCTTGAGATTGCAGCAGTGCTGACAGCTCCGAGGAGACACAACACATGCTTCTACTAGTGTGACACTCTTCTTTGTACACTCATGATACTAGTACACAATCCCTTTCTCCTGATTTGGCCTGCATGTCTGGTAGTGCAGTGCCATAATGTGGCATGTTTATTCACTGGAGTCGTGTTTGCACTGTAATTATAGCCATATGATATGCAGCCATGAATAGTCCCTGAGAAAATACAGGATAATTGAACTCAAGTCTTAAGCTTTCTGGACAAACTTGTTTTTTTCCTTAATTTCCCAGAAATTGCCTTATGGTGTGTTCACACACTAGTTCGGTTCTCTTGGTGCGCTCATGTATAAAATGATACATTTAGTCCTGGTTCGCTTAGCATGCACACTGTAATTTTTAACACCGAACCTAAAGATACAAAACAAAAGAAATAAGAATATGGTCACAACCTTATTGGACCGATTTAATGACGTATGTTTGAGATGGAACTTACCAAAACATCCAAACCAATGCTGTGTGCTGGGCTAAATGTGCTTGTTGAATGCATGTACATATGGTGGTATTTTTACCAGCTGAGAACTCTGAGAAACGCTTATGAATTGTGTAAAGGAGTCAAAACCGTACCAGGAATTTCTCTGTTGCACACAAACGAAGATCTGCTGCAAGGAAATGGCAGTTCTGACACCTGTACCAAAATGTAATGGGCAACGTAGCTACTATGACGAGAAGAAGTCCGGTCGCATCTTGTTTTTGGTTTTGTTTAGATGTCTATGGGCCTGTCCAAATACCCACACTTGCGGTCTTTGCACTTGACCATTTGTCTACTTACATGACATATTTCCATATTTTCCATGACATATTTGGCCTGTGTTCAAGTGGGCATGAAGACCGCAAGTGTGTGTAGAACTTTTGATTATCCGATGGGACTATGAACATTTTGGC